AAAAGACAACTTGTGTTTAAATGCCGAACAAGATAAGATAAAGAAGCGGTGATGACATGATATTGTATAACAAACGCTACAAAGGTGACCAAAAGTAGCATGGCTTAAATATCGTAGATTGCGTTACGGCAATCTTTGATAAAGGCAGACATCTCACATACTACATGGGAACCAGTGACATCTTTGCTTTTAGATAATAATTTTAAATATGAAATTCATGATGTAATAGCAAAGGAACATAACATGTATTAAGTATACATCAGACAATTACCATGGCTTTTGAAATCGGAAGAAATTGAATAGCAGGTAAACATAAAGTTAATTTGACGCCGTTGACGTTGTCAGATGTATATTTGTTGTATGTAAATACTGTTAAAATACAAACGTTAGTCACAGTTTAGTAATCTTTGATAACTGTGTTCGTTAGATATGTACATTTATGTTGACAAAATTTGTACAGCGTATGTATTGTTACAGAATAAAAAATGAAGAAGTATATGAACTTTCTGGACATCCCTCGTAGTATGTACATTCATTAATTTGATGAGACATAAATCATTCAATCAATTGATATTCGATACAATTCAGTTGCATTTACCTACGTTTTAAAAAAAACCTTATGTGAAGGATTAGATATGTCACAAATAAAAAAAAGCAGAACTAAAAGATAAACGTTCAAACCTTTACGAATATTATCGTCAGTTCAAACCATTAACTACTGTAAGGACGTTTTTAAATCATTGAGAAAAAGTTGGTTCAAAAGCAAACGTACACTGTTTTTATTTATATCCCCAAGCAACCGTTAAATGAGTTAGCAAGCAACCATACAGTAAAGAAAGAATACCTATGACGATTTATTTGTCATTTTCTTAAACACCTCTGTGCATAACCGACATTGTTTAACTTTCTTAAGCACATATGATTATTCTTCTAAGTATCAAGTAAATGTGCTCGTATTTTATATGTAAAGCTTGAAATCGTTGTTCGAAGACAATATTATGACCTATCTTGAGGTATTGTGGGCAAGATTCTATTACCCCTTTTCGTAAGGCTTAGGCCAGAACAATCCATAATATGTAACTCCTAGTTATAAAATAAAAGTATTCAATAATTGATCTTTTTTGAACTCGGTTATCAATATTCAGTCCAAAATTGGCAAATTTGTACGTTTTAATCACTTGCAAAGCCAGTAAAAAAGTTGCGAATGATCTCACTGTTAGAAGACAAAACAGCCTAATCTATATCTTCCATCGGATAAATATCAACGTCTGTGGTATAATGTGTAATCAATATAAACTCATTAATTTGGGAGCAGGATTTTTAGTGTTTCTTTTTTAAACAAAACTTTAAAGATAATATCCGAACCCCTACAAACAAAACATACACTCATACGCACCCAATTGATACAACTTTTTGTTCAAGCCACATCTACCCTTTTCTAGAAACCTTGGTACAGTTTTTTATAAGTTTAATGAAAGCTTTTGTCATCAACGCCAAATGTATATTAACTTTATTTAACATATCAACCACGACACAGAAGTTTAATACAGCCATTCAATTAAAACAGAAAACAGTGTTACTCTAGTGCAAAAACAACTTGACGGCACATCATTTGCGATAAATACAAACTTAGTAGTGAAAAAGCGCAGATATTAGCGTTACACTATAGAAGCGTCAATTAAAAAATGACTCTTTTTTATTGTGAACCAATCGTATTTTAGATGTGATAAATAGTCAATACTAAATATATTGAAAACAACAATATTATACATGCCAGAGGCCTGTTTAACTCGATCTTATATTTAATACTACACTGAATCAATATTCTCTATATCTTACACAAAACGTCATTTTGCTGAAAGATGAGTTTATAAAAGTGGCAAGTTTGAATTATTACATGCCAAGCAGTGCATTTCCCAATTTCCAAACCGTATATATATATGTGCGTAGAAGGCTTTTTGTTTTACAACATGATAGGTATGCAAACATAACTTGAGGTCAGAGTATTTATCTTCAAGTTTATGGGGGATGTAAAATTGGTGTCTAGTTAAATATAAATGTAAAATTAATGGGTTCATAAATCAGCGAATCAACCAAATTTTTACTTACACGGTTTTGTGTAGCGCATCAAAAAGTTTGGAACATAACATTACAGTGGTCAGAACTATTACGTCTACCTGACAGAAAAATTGATTACATGTCGTCACAATATGTAACGATAATGACTTTTTTGTATAACTTATAATGATATAGGTGCGACAGTGAGAGTCAGGACATTTGCGAAATTTAGCGTTCAATGCTACATTTAGCGTCAACTGTGCTAGATTGAACCTCAAACGAAACATTTTTCGGCGATGTGACAGTTTGCATTAATACAATGTCTTTTTTGGATTACAAATATTTTCCTCACATAACATCTGTACTGGTTTGTTTACGTAAACTGGAGAAAAGTTTCTAGTCATAACAATAAAGCGATCGTAAGCTTTCGAAATTTTAATTTACAATTTTAAAGATATATAAATATATTGATTTTTAGATACAAAAGGGCCAACATGGCCATAGATCGCTAACATTGCCCATTGAACACATCCGAGTAATTACTTAGACAAGATAATGACCAAGTTTGATGACAATAGAGTCAAAAATGTTACTTCTAACAAGGGTTTTCAATAGTTTGGCTGTGTGACCTAGTTTTTGACCCCAGGACCCAATTTCGAACTTAACCTAGAAAGTATCTAAACAAACATGCATATTTTTTGCTCCTATGACCAAGTTTTTGACCTGAAACGACCCATATTAGAACTTGACCTAGAAGTCATCGAAACAACTTTCCTGAACAACTTCTAGTTTTTCACCAGAGACGACCCATGTTCATAATTCTCTCAGCAATAGAGTAGACAAGCATCCTGACACAGTTTAATGACAAATGAGTCAAAAATTTGCCCATTTGAATGTTAACAAGGTTTTTTTTCCATATTTCGGCAGTGTGACCTAGTTTTAGACACCAGGTTTTTCATATTTGAACTAGACCTATAAATCATCAAAAGAAACTCCCAGACCAATTTCAAGGATATTTGGATCAAAATAGTAGCCTCTACAGAGTTAACAAGAATTTTCTATCTATAGCTTCCATGACCTAGTTTTTGATCCGAGAAGTCTCATATTAAAACTTGACCTAGAAGTCATCAAAAAAATCTTCCTAAACATTTTCCAAAATATTTGGATCAAAACTGCAGGTAATTTTTTGTGAACAAGATTATTTAGTTTTAGCTCATTTGACCTAGTTTTTCACCGGAGATGACTCATGTTCAAACTTGACCAAGAAATCATCAAATAAACTTTCCTTCACAATTTCCAGGATGTTTTGATCAAAATTACAGCCAATAGAGTGTTAATAATATTTTCTATTTTTTTAGCTCCTGTGACTAAGTTTCTAACCCGAGACAACCGATATTCAAAATTGACCCAGAAATCATCAAAACAAAACAATTTTTCTTACCAAAATTATAGAAAATTTGGATCAAAACTGCAGCCACTAGGGTGCCAACTAGATTTTTCTATTTTTAGCTCATGTGACTTTATTTTTGACCCATACTCAATTTTGACTCGGAAATTATCAAAACAACCTTCCTGATCAATTTCTATGATATTTGAATCAAAACTGCAGCCAGTAGAGTGTTAACAAGATTTTTTTTTAAACTTTTAGATCATATGACTAGTTTTTGACTCAAGACAACCCATATTCAAACCTGATCTAGAAATTATCAAAACAACTTTCATGGCCAATTTCAAAAATATTTGAATCAAAACTGTAGCCATAAGAATGTTAACAAATATTTTCTATTCGTTAGCTCCTGTTACCTAGTTTTTAACCCGAGACAACTCATATTCAAACTTGACCTACACATAATTAAAATAAACTTTCTGACCTTTCTCCAGAAAATTTAGATCAAAACTGCAGCCACTACAATGTTAACAAGGTTTTTCTGTTTTGTTTAATTACGTGACCTTGTTTTTGACCGGAGATGGCCCATATTCCGACTTGACTCAGAAATCATTAAAACATCAAAACTTCCTCATCAATGTCTCAGGATATTTGAATCAAAACTGCAGCAACTTGAGTGTTAACAAGATATTTCTTTTTTTAGCTCCAGTGACTTAGTTTTTCCCCCCGAGATAATTCATATTCAAACTCGACCTGTATTTCATTGAGACCAACATTTTGACAAAGTTTGATGATGATCCAATCAAAACCGTGACTTCTAGAGTGTTAACAACCCTAATGTTGACGACAACTCACGACACACCTCGCACGACGCCGGACGGCGGACATAGCCCCATCACTATACCTCACCTTGACCACTTCGTTATCAGGTGAGCTTAAAACCCGTCAATACATTTATTTATTTTTTTCATTTCTTATATTTTTACAGCATTTGGTCTAAAGGTAAAAATAATATCAAATATTGATTGTGGTAAAATAATTTACTATATTGTGCTCGCCTGAGATATTCAGTTTTCAACCTTCCTGATCAATTTCTATGATATTTGAATCAAAACTGCATAGTATTCAATCTATCGGCCATAAATGATTGTAATACAACCATTGTCTTACGGGCATATTGATTTTGTCTCCAGAAATAATGTTTATATTCATTGCATGTATTGGTTTGTTATAGAATAGGATTCGAGACTGTGTCTATAAGCAAACAGCTTCCTATATAATCGAACTGAAGACAATCTTGTATATTAAATTAGAACGACTGAACCAGGGTTGAATGCACGTATGCATTCATCATTGAGTAATGGACAACTTATAAAATTATAAACAATATACTGATGATGAGTATCATTATTATTAGTAATATTGTTATTTAAGCTATGACAATTCTAAAGGAATATGATGATGATGATGTTTCAGATGGTCATATTGATTATAATGGTGATAATGATTAAAAAATAGTGATGCTATTGGTAATGCATATAAATTTTTATCATACCGACTGCATAACATTACACTCAAGAAGACTTATCAACACAAAGGCAGTGATAGAAGGTTTAAAGCCGTCCTTTGTAGCTCCCTGTAAATATAATCGAAAATGTATGTAACGTACGAGTATGATTCAAGAAACTTTTGTTGAGATATAACATATTTAGTATCGTTGTCACTTTAAATCTAACCAGCTTGTCTTTTTACGATTTACAATTTCTAATATCATTTTATTTCATTTCAAGTTAGTCGTCATAGAAGAATGTTAGTTAACAGCAATGAAAAGTCGTCGAAAACACCATATAAATTCCATTATTTTATTTCTAATTCATTAGAAGAATTGAAAACTTCCTGGACATTATACTTCTTTTCTTTCTTCTAATAATGATAGATGATAAGTATAAATTTCTATCACGTTTAATCAGATCAATAAAAACACAATTAATGTCAATTCTTGTGAATTAATAACATCAACTATCTCTGACTGAGATGAGTATAAAATTGATCACCTTCGACCACCAGGTGTGGCTATACCCCATGTTTTTTATCCCATTAAAAGTTCCTCCTACATGTATAAGATTCGCCAAATAGCTAATGGTCGGTTGAAGATCAGTTGTCGTTTCCAATCCGTCATCGACAACATAGTCAGCATGACATAATATCTTTGCTGCAAACGCTGTCAACCTACAAGATTTTAATGTTTTGTCACTAAGCAAATAAGAGGGTTATTTTGACCAGTTTGCCAATATAATAATTCTGAACAAAAACAAACAGTATTGTGACAGTCGTAATAGTGAATTGTTCTCTTTTAATGCGTTCACGGGGCGATCATTAAAGAAATGATAAGCGTTTGTATTGGCCTGCAGTTGTTCGACCAGAACTCGATCGTTTTGATCATTTCGGAACAATTTTTGTCATTAATCAGAGCAATATATAGGTATCAGCAATATAAAGACGCCAGAGAATGTACCGCAAATAGAATAGAGCAATTATCTTTTCATGCCGTACAACGTAACGTCAATTTTATTAGACGTGATATTATACAAGTATATCGACACATTAGTTGCAATACCTGATATTGGCAAACTGATCTCAATAACTCTCAATACAATTTTGTCGGAAGTCATAACATGAAGTTTATTTACGAGGACTATAACAACGTCACAACGTGAGTGTTTTCAATAATAGACTCTTACGCGGACAAGGTATACATGTGCAGCCTGACCGGGATTCCAACCCCGGGACTCACAGAATACCATACCGTGGCTCTACCGACTGAGCGATCCAGCCATATACACCCCACCCCCTAAACATTGAACAGTTCTGAATTATGCCATACTCTTACCAATTGAAAAAAAGAAATATATTCAAAAAGGTAATGATTATCAATAATAAATGCAAATAACTAAGTAAATGTAAATCTTATCAAAAGGAAGTGGTCTGTTGTTAAGTTGTAACATCTTGATCTCGTAATCAAAGGAGCATGATACTACTAAGATCCAACCTCTACCATGATAAATGTCAACAATCTTAAAAATTGGACCAATGTCGGATATGTTCAGGAGTGCCAGGACCAGGGTTGCCTCTGGATCTAGGCAAGCTAGGCAACTTATGTATATCAACGTTTCCATTCATCCTAATTCACTTTTACACTTCATCTAGATCTTTTACTCTTAAAAAAATGATATAAGTGTCAATAATGTGTTTTATTCTATGATATCAAACACCAAAGAAAGCACGTACAGAAAGTCGCGACTGTTATAAATGAAATATATTGAACTAACAGACCTCAGATTTTGATCAAATCAAAATCATTAAAATTAATAGTGATTTATGAAGTAATATAATTACTCTAGAATTTGAAAATCATTTGAACAGTTTTCTGTTAACAATGTTTTGTTGTTGGTGTTTTGAAAGTAACCAAGTTATGTTAAAATTTAACATCTTTAATTTAAAAAGTGAAATCATCTTTGTTTTTTCTGATTTAAATTTTCATGAATGGTTCAGTTTATATTTTGAATCATTTAGCCATAATCAAGCATAATGTCTCGGACAGATGGAACTAATTTCTTATCAACAAACAAACTAAGATATTACATTGTCTATAGAATTCAAGCTAATACTTGTCAATCTGAAAACAAGAATGATTAACTGCTACTTTAATTGATGCCTACTTTAATTATAAGTAACATCATAGACGATTGAATATTTTCTTTTCTGATTCTTGAAATTATAATTAAAGTAATTAAAAAATTTCAAATGAATCACAAAATTGTATACATTATTTTGTTTTTAATTTCCTGCAAATAAAGTTATTCAAGATGCTCATGTGTGCAGGATATTGGGAGTATATATCAAAAAGAAAGAAAACCGTTTGACGTTTTTGAAAACAATATGTTAAATTCAAGTACGTTAGGTTTAATATAAAAACACCCATTCGTATCGTTTATGATTGCAGTTGTAGATCATCCAAGAATTCTCTGAGTGTAAATTATTCTGTAAATTTATTCTGAACGCAGTTATTATAGAACATTTAATTCGACATCAATGTAACATTATAGACCGAGTCAGAGAAGCGTTATATGCAATGCAACAGTTAAACATGGCGTTTCGTGCATAAAATATCAAGTGACATACATTAAACGAACGTCTTTACAAAATTAATATTGCATAACATGTGATGACCACGAAAAACGGGAAATTATCTGATCGTTTGGAACCTAATAAAGAATTTCAAATACAATTTAGAAAGATTAATGGCAATCGTTGTTTTAATATGCAGGATTACAGGTCACTATCTATTCGTTTCTTAAAGTACAATATGACCTCCAAGTTGGAGGTTTTTTGCCCTTAGCACATGATTAATTAAATGTTTATAGAGGCAACTAAACAATGCTATATGCCAACTATAGATGCATAGTATTTATCCGCGAAATAAATTTGATGCTTTTCCCTATATTTAATTGCACAGGGACCCAGCACAGTGTTAGGATAGTGTAAAAAGGTAATTCTAGAAGAAACAAATAAACGTGAAAATGACTTTGCAATTTTGACTTATACTGGACCAGTGGATTTCGGCCGATTTGGCTAGTTCAACCTCTTGTCTATATATCATATATACAGAATATATGTTTTCTAAAATTACCTTTAAACACTATCCCAACACTGTGCTGGGTCCCTGTGTTTAATTCTACATGAAGCAAACGACTCCAGTGAATAACAGGGCCAGTTCGACTTGAGGGTCATGATTAAAACACTTTTAAAACATCTACAAATTGATGCTAGATGCTTAATATCTAAAATTTGTGCTTTGTGGTTTCCCATATAAGTAAATATGTAAGCTCTAGAAGTTTCACACAATACAACAAAAGTGGTGTGTGTTCCATTGCAAGTCTATATAAATTAAGTAATTCCTTACGGGGCCAATTTTGAGATCATAAACCTCACACCTGTGATCTGCGCATCGTCTCATTGTAATTGATATGTCTGCTAAAACAAGATTTTGTTTATATCGGTTAAATTATAGAACGGACAGTAAGTTTTGAATTTACAATATGACTAAATGTGAAATTGGCCTTGACTTTAAGGAAGATCAAATCTGCGCTCTAGAAATCGTCTCATTATGGTTTACTTAACATATGTTTCAGGTAGTTTCAGTTTCCTTCTACCGGTTGAAAAGATACAATCCGGAAACTAAAACTGGTAAAAGACGGTCAAATGGATGGACAACCAGGTGCATAGCATTATATGCTGACTTCTTTCTGACGTATTAAACTGAAAGTTTCATATAAAACTGTGGTATTACACTATGTTACTGACCATTGAGTCAACCAAGGCTTAGGGGGCGTGAGGGATGTTGCACATATTCATTATCACTCATGTACAGACTCAATAAAACCGAGTCTGCAATTCTCTTGTAATTTTGTTGTGATTAATGCTTCCGAGGGATCACTTTGTTTCAAGACTTTTATATGAATAAGTGTTCATTTTCTGTTAGTCAACGGCTCATCTGTGTTTTGCAAACAATGTACAACAACTGAGTATTTCTTGATTTTTTTTCAGTCAGTTTGTTTTTCTGTATTAGATATTTACAAACTTTTAACCAAGTTCTGAACAACAAAGTTGCTAGCACATATCGGCAGTTTAATGAATGGTTAAAATTAACGAAATTAAAGTCGATTTTTTCGTTTATAAATAAGTGAACAACTGTGTCATTGTATTTAACTTACCAAGCACTTTGTTGGTAGGACCCATCTGGCTTTCGGTACTCGCTCGTCAATCTATCTAAACCTACAAGAATAAAAAGTAAAGTGGTTTTATTCTACGTATTATTCGGAGAAACACTAAACATTTTATTTTATAAATATTAAAGGAGAACTCACTCCAACAAAGACTTGCAAAGAATATTTCAGAGGTTATGAAAGTGCTTACTCACTTCCCAGGAAGAATATTTATTTCAGAGTACACTTTTATAATTCCACGATGAATCTATTATCCTATACAACCATAGTTTGATAAATTGCTAAATAAGCAAAAGCCCGGTTTGAATCGGGTGATTCTCCCCGAAAAGGTTTTTGACACAGAAAAATGCACCTCTTGTAGTTTCAGAGTTATGTCCCTGGGCAAAGTTCAAAATGCGATAGTTCAAGAAGTTACTATTCATTGCCCTGGATTTCTAATAAATAATATATATCTACCTACAAAGATTCTTGTTGATACCTCTTATGGTTTCCAAGTTATGTCCCGGACAAAGTTTAAAATGTAAAAATGAACAAAGGACAAAAACTCCGGAATAAGCCAAGGCAGAGTTATCTACCCATAAGATCTATCTACCTAAAAAATTCATGTTCATATTTCTTATAGTAATGTCCCGGACATGATTTATCCCAAAATGTTAGATAATTCAAAATATGGGGCTTATAGAGTTATGGTTCTTTTGCACTGCACTTCTACCCAATGAGATTTATCTACATTCAAAGTTTCATGTTGATATCTCTAATAATCTACGAGTTATGTTCCGGACAAAGTTCAGTGTTAAAATGAACAAAGAGCATTAACTCCAAAATAAGGCAAAATAGAGTTACGATTTTTTGCACGGCACATTTACTCATTGAGATCTTTCAACCTACATATTTTCATGTTGATATCTCTTATAATTTACGAGAAAGTATGTCCCGGACAAGATTTTACTAAAAGGGTAGATAATTCAAAAGTTGGGCCAAACAGAGTTATGAATCTTTTGCACTGTACTTCTTCTCAATAAGATCTATCTACATACAAAGTTTCATGCTGATTTGATTTCTATTATAATCTTAAAGTTATGTTCTGGACAATGTTCAAAGTGTAAAAATAAACAAATGTATTTGCTTTTTTTTCATAAAATAGACTCCTTCCTGAACAATAGAATGAATGTTAGCTGTGCTAAGTAAATTGACATCCTTCTGATAAAATTAGGATTTTAATAATACAAACACGATAAAATGGTATTTTGTCTTTATTTTGAAGCATATTAGTAGACGAATCAGATTTTTTTGGATTCGAGTATAGAGAAAATTACAAATTTATTCTCAAATTATAATTTTTTCTAATCAAGTTAAATTCTAACACCCTTTATGTTTACTGTGAAACATACACGTCTAAATCAATTAATGTACATGTACTTAAAAACGCATTAGGAGTTTTAATTCTTACATGATACAGTTACATACAATAATACATGTATACATTTTGAGGGTACCACTTACAAGTTAGATGAAAAAGCCAAGGCCCATAATGCATCGCGTCAAATTGTTAAATGATAACGATTTGTCTTCACATTTAGGTAAATACCGAGTCAATCTTTTTCGGCTCAAATCCCAAACTTAGATAAAATCAGTTTTGACAGAGTCAGTATCTAATATTGGTCATGGACAATCGAAATCTTTAGATTTGTAACGCGTGTCCAAACGAGTTGATCAAGTTACTCTGACTTAAGTTTTTAAAATTCTAGAGATTATATGGGTAAGCATTTCATCCACAATAAGGATATCCACTGTCACAATACTATGTTTCGTTAACAAGGGTCCTTCCTCTGCAGTCCCAAGGGTCAAAGATTTTGGTAAAGCGATCCTTTGTTTATGTTGGATGTTTCACAGTCCAAAATGTTTTAGCTTCCTGTCAAAACACAATTGTTAAGTCACGTTTTATAACATTTTCAATAAAGTGTCCGGTATCATTTGTGTACTCGTATTTACATTAGATTCCACTTTTCTTTTTCAATAGTTTTAAATATTAACCTATGATGATATTCATTTTGCATGACTTTTAATCTCGTCTTTCTTAACCATTTTGTATGTGCTTCTTAATATACATGTATGTGGTACTGAATGAATAGTTCTTAGCCTTGTAAATTTTAATAGCTGTGATGCTCCATATTTAATCCTCCAGAAAGTCATTTGTAACATTTAATACTATTTACACGTTAAATTCTGTGAAATTTTATAATTTATGTCTCTATACCATGCTCTCAGATGCGTTGTTTGACATGGTTAATCCTCATGTTCGTATATTATTTAATACTTAAAAGTTTATTTAATGGATTCCGTTCTCCTTCATTTGCTAAAGAGATGATCTTGTGTCCAACAAAAAATATCGGACTGCCATTTTAAAGCAGAATATGACGGTGGTAAACATATGGCAGCAAAATTCAGTGGTATAATTTTCCTGTCTAAAAAACAGCAACAAAGGCTTCTTCGCCGGTCTTCTCGTTGCCCGTGTCGGACAGTCTTTAAGTTTCTGTGGATTGATACCGGTGTTACAGTTTATTATCCTCGTTGGTGTTTGGGTGAGGACGGTAAAAATTTTGAAAGTTGAAAATGTACCCTGCAAACTTATTAATGAAACAGTTTGATAAAATAGCCATTTGTTACTGATTTGTTGTTCGATATTAAAGTGATAGAATATAAAAGCAGAAATAACTCTGCAATAATCGTTCTCTTTCTCTCTTGAACGGACTTAGTAGTACGGAATAAATTTGGGGTTTTACGAAAGTTTATTTATTCATATACTTTATTGCCACGTTCTTTTTTTCATACCATTTTTCGAGTTATGTATTGGTGCGTTATGTACAAGCAGGACTAAAGAAATTGCCATTTCTGCTGTAACTGCTGACGCCAAGTTCACGGAGCATTTTCGGAACATTCTTTGTCAAGAATCTTCTGTCTGATGTTCTCTTGTTTGATCGGCAGGGGAGCGCCTAAGGTTTTACAGCTGTAAACATTTGAAACAGGCGGAACTTGGTGTTGAACTTTGCCTGTACATACCCTCTCCTCTTTATTGTTGTGTTCCTGTAATTATTGCTGCGGTTGACCGACTGCGGCTTGCGGAGCACTTTCTCTCCGTCCAACATAATCGTCGTCGGACCCAGTTATTTGTTGAAGGAAGGGCTCCCTTCATACTTCAGGTGGCGGAGTATCAAAATAGATAAAAAGAAATCAAAATTGAAACTGTTGCGTAAACATGCATCCACGACAATAATGTCGTACTGAACGATCTTTAAGGAATTGACGTCGACGCTCTAAAGCTGTATAAGTTGCACATATCTCCTGATTTGAGAAAGGAAAAACAATCAATTATAATCCCTGGATATTATTAAACAGATTTGTCACTTCAGGCAAAACTATATTTTATATATTTACAAGTTAAAAATGTTAAAGGAAGTAGTGTCTATCATCAACAGCACGAGTTTTTAAACAAAACAATGTGCATTTTTTTTTATTTCTTTTATGTAAGGCTTGAAAAGAGTATTATATAAACTAATAAAAAGACCGGTTACATAAATCATCAGTCAACAAATGTCTGCTGTTAACGTAAATGTCGTTTTGTAAAATTCTTAATTTTGAATTTTTGTATGTAAATGTCATTTCCTTCTTTCAATTAAGAAAACATTTCTGAGCTTATGTACTAACTAGCATGCAATGTTTTCCTCTGAGAATTGCTTTAATCTTACCTTATATCAGCATCCTCAATGGTGTCAAAATTGCTGTCAAGAAGTCGACTAAACTTATTAGATACTCTGTCTTTCAACTGTTTTAATGTAGGTGTTCTGTATTGCGCTTTATGGTTAGTTGACATTGGTTCTATGTTTGCCTTGACATCAGTAATTACGTTTGTCCAGCTGCTTGGTGGAGCTCATATGCCATTAAAATCAATAAGAATTTTTCCTTTTATAAAGGAACTTTCCTTCGACGGTGCAATATACCTGATTTATCAAGCAATTATCTAGGTATTGCAAGCAATGCTTAAGTCCCCTATCGGTTAGAATCATAACAGCTTTCTGAAGGGCCATTGTCCGTTCAATTATGCCATTGATAAAATGAATGACATGGATGAACTAAAATATTTTGACTTCTTAGTTCGGCTGTATCATAGTAATGTGTTAAGTTTATCTGCCCAATAAGAAAATTATGTTTATACAAAAGATTCAATTTTCTAAGGATGAATATGTATAACTAATGATTCAACTTTTTGTATTTTAAGTAAATTTGTTTGAAAAGTTCCAAGTTCATTAATGGTGATCTCAGTAAATAGTGTTAAGGAGCTGACTGACAGACAGAGGACATCCCTAGTTGTTACCAGACTATAACATTTTTAACAGCTAAATTCTTAAGCTAAACAGGAGATAACTCTTGAAAAAAAGTTGCTAGACTGTGAACATTATCAAACATGATGTGAGTGTAAAAAGAACAGTTATCTAAAGTTTAACGAAGATGCCATTCATAGTCACCATGCAAAAAATGTGAAAACATACCATTTATTGTAACGAAGAATAAAATTTAAAAAAAAAAACAACAAATAACTTTCAAATTCAAAATAAAAATAATTATTGAAATCCAGGCAATAGACTTATAAAATCACATAATTATGAGAAACTATATAAGTTTTCTTTCGTTCTTATCCCTTTTAAAAATATGTAATAATTATTTACATAAAACATGTTAACATTGTAAGAAAATATGTTAAAACAAATTACATATGATGAAGGTGTTGACATTGAATGTATATTTCAATATGAAATAAATTCTTGAAGAAAAAATAAAGTTAAAGAAGGAAAAAGAAATAACCAAAGTTTAAGGAGACGATGATTCTGGAAATATGCACGCTATATTTATAATCCTTGCCATATTATCATAAAGTGGGAGTTTGAAGTTAATCCGATAAGAAATGAAGAAGTTTGAGTAAACAATAAAAAGTTCTAGGAATAAATCTAAATGCATGGCATTATTTTCTCAAAAAAGTCAAGAAAGTCAAGCTGGAGAATTGAATCTACTCACACATGATTTGAGTGATAATAAGAAACATATATAAGATGTTGGAAATATGCACGCTATATTTATAATCCTTGTCATGTTATTATGACGTGGGAGTTTAAAGTTAATCCTATAAGAAATGAAGAAGTTTGAGTAAAAAATAAAAAGTTCTAGGAATAAATCTAAATTCATGGCATCATTTTCTCAAAAAAGCCAAGAAAGTCAAGCTGGAGTATTGAATCTACTCACACATGATTTGAGTGATAATAAGAAACATATATAAGAAGTTTGAAGTATATTCATAAAGAAATATTGTTAAAAAGATAACACAAACATTATGAGAATTCTAAGTTCAGGGGGGATAATTCTAATATTTTTTGTACTAGAGTGGTAAACCTCATCACATAAATAGCTTATAGTGAAAAGTGTTATACTTAAATCAAAAATCTTGATAAGGTCGCCCACAGTTGGTTACTAGGCCACTTTTATTATTATACTTCCTGTAGTCACTGTATGATCTCTATAGTGCCATCTATCCATATCTTAAGTTTAATAAAAATGTTTTTAGAACATTTTGAGAAATCACAAATATTAAAATATTTGTCATATTTTAAGCTTATTTGATGCCATAACAAACATATTTTTCAATAAAGGACAAAAAGACGTACATAATTTCCAGACTGCCATTTACCTTTATTTCAAAATTTCATAAGAGTATTTTAAGGACTTTTTGCGTTATCACAGGATCAAGATTTTTGCCATAAATATTAAATTTGCCATATTTTCAGTCTAATTGTTGCCATAGCAACTTACGTTTTCAACATATTGGGGAGAAAAGAAAAAGACGTCTACCATCTATCCATATATCAAGGTTGATAAAAAAATCAGTACTTTTTGCGTTTTCACCGGATAAAGTTTTGTGGACGAACGGACGGTCAGACGAACGGACGGAAAGACAAACAGAGGGTAAACCTATTGTCCTCTACTGCTTCACCGGTAGGGAATTAATAAAACATAATTTCTAAGACAGTTGCATGCTTTTTCACTGTATATGAAAACAATTAGACAGAAGAATCTAATTAATTTTTAGTTGTGCTCCTCCAAACTGTCTCAAATAAAATTTGCACTCTGCTGCTTCATTATGAAAGTTGAGGTGTCAAGCACTGACATCCATGGTCATTGTGACATGTTATCTTGTGAAGTTGATAGAAATATGATTTGTAATATTTCGAATAATTTCTGATGACCAGTGTGTAAAAATGAAAACATACTATAGCTTCATATTACTTAATGTAATTTTCTCACAATACAAAGACATTTTGAGGTTCTATGAAGCATAACAAAATTCACTAGAGCTCTACATTCTGTAACAATCATTCATGTTATAATATAAGTAGAGACATTACCAACTTCTGTAGCGGCAAACGATATATTTTTCTTAAAGTATGTTAACCATTTCTAATTAAAGATATATTATTTTCTTATGTACAAACCTTATCGTATGTTTTCATCATCCATCTGTATAAATATCACGGTTATTTTACACAACATTTACGCATTACTTCATTGGCCTACAATAGACCAATGGCTTAGTATATGTGGTGACTGGGATAAACTGTATCCCGCAGGTGGTGCGCTACATGAAACATCACACGAAATATTTCGACCAATGAATTTACCACAAGAACAATTCTTTTCTGGATACAGTCATCTCAACGATTTGAACACACAAGTTATTGTGGATTCAGATGGTGATATTTATCATATGGAATTATGATTTTCCGCGTATCTAAATGATGTTAGCAGTTAAATCCTATGACAAATGTTATCAGCGACACACTTCCATTTCCAGGGGAATGCGTTTTCTAGGAGATGTGATTTATCCTAAACGACATCTTTTCATAACCCCATATACATCGAAGCAAATTAACAGACGTTATGTTCGAGACAAAAGAATATGCAGAAAGATCAACGGACTTATTTAGATAAATAAAGTTTCAGTTGAACAGGCCATAGGGGAGATCAAAAAATACATATCGGTAAGTGCACTTTGTCGCCATTCAAGAGTTCTTCTTCCTCGAGTCGTTAAGATATGTGCTTCTTTTTGAGACGAAAAAATATGTTGCAACTGATACATAAATGTGGACAAATGATTATTGTACCATCGGAAGGTGAATGAACTATATGAAAAATAAACACATACACATAAACCTTAAATAAATAATTGAATTGAGATGTAATTTAAGATTTACAAGTTCTTTTGTCCAGCAGATTTACCGTTAAACCGAAAACATTCAGACAGCAGTTTTCAAAGTTTCAAGCAGAGATGTGGGTTATTTTGTAAACCAAAGATATATTTGAAGTGAAATTTCAGAATAGTTGAGATATCTATTGACTTTATATAGACCCTTTCATTAAAGATCGTATTAATGTTGTCGCCATAGGATGACGTCATTGGGGGATACGGTGGACAATACCGATACGATTAAGTATAATAATAGAGGGATATAAAGATCTTAATCCTTTCTCTTGTAAGATTGGCAGATTGAAATTGCCAAAATTTTGCGTGATTGAATAAAAGTTAATAGAAGACCATATTGCAGGGTAAATGATCATGATTACCATTTTTGTTAGATTCTTAATAATGAAAATTTTACCAGGCAGTTAATCGTACTAACTTGCTAATACCAGAGATGCAGATAATGTATCTATGTCTCTGCTAATATACAATACCAAAAAGATATTTTCAGTTTCAAAAATGTAACGATTCTGTAGTTTTGGAAAACGGCTGCGTAATAATTAATTGCAAGATTCTGGTTTATTAAAATCATTTTGAGTCAAGCAGTACTAAGACAAAGAAAAAAAACAATATAAATCTATGCAAATTCTAAAAAAAAGTGAAGGCATAAAAAATAAACATTCTTTTGAATGTACATGACTGTATACTATTTTTGTCTTAAAAATCGTACATCACACCAATATGTTTAAGCTTGGTAAGTAATATTTTCAACTTCATACTTTTTAATTCATACTCTGCTTATCAAATATGTTTTTAAAAAATCACAAAACATAAGTTCTGAAACATGTTCACAGAAGTTCGTTTTTAACTGAATTATAATTTTACGTATTTTTGACTGCGCCATTTGGTAGGACTCTGAATCGAGTATCAAATCAGTAAGGCATGACCAATAAAGTCCCTAGGATGGTCCATAACAAATTTCGGACAATAAATATTTTGACAACTAACAAAAGTGATGTATTCTGATGTAATGTTATAACTCTAAAAAATGCAACCTGGTGATTTAAGATATCACAGCCAAGTGCCGCTTGTATAAACAACATATGCACCATGTTAATTAATATGTTACGGCTCAGTGGTGTTTATATATAAACATCTATTTATCTATGAAATAAGTTACTGGGAAAATGTCTTTATTTTTATAACCATGGACATGATGGAATAGATTTTTAATATCAAAATTATCTTATTATCGTCTATTATAAAAGTCAATGCCACCTGGTTTTCGTTCTTTCCGCATTTTTTATAAAATTATATCCTTCACTGGTTCTTGAGAATATTTTTTATAAGGCATGATTAAAAGGAATCAGTACGTATTGACAGAATGCATTCTGATATTGTTCTATTAAAGCTTGAGAAACAATCATTAAAAGACATTGGCAATCTTATTTTCATGTCTGTCAAAAATTAATCTTAATCTTTGTTTTTATATTTTTTCTATTGTCTTGATATTGAATTTATGTATTCATGCGTAAAATTTTACATGTTATTATCATAATTTAACGATCAGTATTTACGCATTTAATTTTTCAATAACCTAACATTCTATGCGGCCTGCATAGTTTTATCTCCCATTTACGTCACAACCGGTAAGGGAAGTAACTTTTTCCTTACTGTTATCGCTTAAATGAAAGGAGTCTATAGCATGTAAGTGCTCATCTACAATGAGACAAAGTCACTTTAAAATACCAAACCCTGTGATTTTGTTGAGTTATGAATATAAGCCACATTACATTTTATAAAATCCTAAGATTAACTGGTATTTAGAAATATGTATTTGTTAACTTCACTTTTCATTTTAATTTAAGATAGAAAGGTTAATTATGACTCCATTTATATAAAGAGTATGATCTTACCTTGCCTTATGTACCTATAGCCATGCATTATATTTGTAGCTGTTGCTTGCTTTGTTTTCTTCAAATACATCAAAGCGTACACATTTGGGGCGGTTGAAGAGCATGTTTGCTCTGCACAACCGCCTGGCATTCTGAATATTCTACCCACATCCCTAAGAATGAACTGCACTACGTTGTCCATGATGTTTGCTGTAATAAAATATGAAATTATTATCGTAATTAATAAATACAAAAAGGATCTGTGCTCGATGTGCTTGTCAGATAAGAAATTTTTGACAGAGTTAACAACAGATATGAATTTAATTTTATCTTACAAGCAAATAAAAGACGTTTATTTTCAATTCATCTTATGTTTAGTATGTGTTTAAGGTTGTTTTAATTGTTTCTTTTATGCCGCGTTTCCCTTTATGGTGTCACAGTGTGGAAAAATAATTATGTAAAATGTATTACATTTTATTTACATTGTGTGTGCTAATATACCATTTCTAAGTAATAATTGTTATATAAATAAATTTTATGCATTTAATCTTGATAGATTTTTTTTAAATGAATGTCTTCGTTAATACTTGAGTCTAAACAAAAATGGAAGTATTTAAAATCGAAGTGTCAAAATATGTTTTGTTATCAAACTTTCGAAATATAAACATCATCATAATATCTAAGGATTTTTTTTTCTATTTTTTTAGAAATGAAATATAACGAAACGTAAAAACATTTTATGTTACTTTCTTCAGTCTACTTAATCAGGGCTGGAAATCAAAACTGCGTCGTATCCTACAAAATGTAAACAAACGCCGCCATCTTGGACCGAAAAAAGGTATGTTCTTGATTATAACTATTTTTGTTGGAAATGAGTGAAAAACCAGATATATGTATTAACACGCTACACTATTTTCCACTTCGTTCGGTTTGTGATGCTTGCACAACTTTTTTGTAAAGCAAAAGTTATATCGAACTTGCAACTCGAAGCGGAGCAGAATTTTTATGAAATTACGTGGATACCATGCAGTTCATATTGCTTTATCTATCGTTTTTCCCCCTCAAATCAATTGTATACTTGTTTCAGAGTTCACCATAAAATTCAAAATATGATTTTGCATCATTTAGTTAAATTTTATTAAAAAGAGATGTTTATTTTCCAAGAAAATAATGATTTTTACTAAATGATACGACGCAGTTGGAAATAAAATATGATACGACACAGCTGTATGCATACTGGTTCAGCTATTAAATTATGTGCTAAGTATGCTAATAACTTCCAACAACATTTCTTGTTTACAACTTAAGTCAAAAGCAGAGGTCACTCATTTGTTCCACAAAATTGGAAAATGTAATAAAAATTCTATTAAGGCTTCATATTTCGGTCGCATTTTTAGTTCCTGTCATAAGCATCTACAAATTCCGAAAAGCTGTATCAAATGCAATATACATTGAAACACGTGATCGCACACCCAAATGACAACGTGTTCTAGAGTTGCCTTAGCATGCTTATAAATTTTTTCACGTGAGTTCGAAATTGGGGTGGTTACTTTTTTTAATTACAGAATTCTGATATAAAATTCAATCTTCCAGGGTAACCTCTCCTGGACCCTGAATCAATCAGGAATGACCTTTGTTGTTTTTTTTTATTTTTTGTTTTTTGTTTTTTTTTTTTAAAGAATTACAAGTTTTGTAAAGGTCTCTTGCTATCTGAAGAGAAGTATGCATGCCTACCTTTGTTACTAATAATGAGCAGAGCTGCATCAGTACTAAGGGTTTAGTACTTAAGATTCAAGATTCTTTATTTAGTAACGTAAACAAGTTATGTTTCTTGTTACATAATACAATTAACATATATACATATTACACATGACAAATACAAATAAAGACATGAATGATTAAACTCACTGAAAACAAGTAGGCATAATGAGCATATACAAGAGGATGAACTATGTACAATTACAACAATATGTGAGCGCATGAACATATGATAATTATTTAACACAGACATTTTTACAATACGTTTACACCACAGTATCAGATAATTATTGTACAATACCAAATAACGTAGAAATTATTGTATTAAATTAATACACATGTAAGTGATTACAGGAAGTAGCCTTAATTACTTCTAAGTATAGGTGTTTACAATGTTTTGTCTTATTATAAATGCTTCTCGTATAAATTTACATAGTTTAATTACTACAGAATAGTTTACAGATTACATAAGTTCTATAAATTTAACAACACTTGGTCTGTAAAAATAAAATTTGTTAATGTAACGTTTTCGAATCTGATTGTATGCTGAACAGATACAAATAAAATGATATTCATCTTCTAGGTCACCACTGTTACAAATCATACAATGTCTAAAGTACTTAAGTACCAGAACCAATACTTGGCAAATTATGCAGTACCGTCACCAGTACCAGTACTAGATTTTAGCATGGTACTGCAATACCAGTACTTATTTGGTGATGTAATGAAGTATCAGTACCATTACTTTTATATATTCATCAAAGTTTAAATAAATTACACAGAATCAAACAAATAATTGCAAATATTATTCAGCAAAGAAATAAAATCATAATTTACTTTAAAGTTAACATAACATTTTTACAACTTTTCTAGTTTTAACATAATAAATAAGTATTATTTACAACATATATTACTGTCATATCTTATTGTTTGGTAACCAGTCAACTGTTATATAATGCAATCATTTTTCATTTAAAACACAACAGTCTTTTGTTGCCTTTCACACCTTCACACCTCTGTTCAAATTATTATATTACAAGTAAATAACTTTTTATGGTGTTAACAATATCACTTGAAATAGGGTTATTTAGAATAGAAGCAATTAATTAGTGATTATTTTTCTCTCTTACTAGTATATACAAAGTAATAAAAGAATTTAATAAGGATATTTTAGGGTAAAGAGTTATTGAGCCTGTGTATCTCAATTTAATATTTACTTGAAGTCTTTGGTGCTTTGTTATGATTAATACTATGTTAACATTTGAAGGAATATTGCACCAAATTATCTATAGATTTGATAACTTACTTTTTCACAAAAACAAAAAAATGTAATTTACAGCTTTATATAATGAGAAAAATAGATGTTATTTTTTATCAAAACCAAAAGTAATGCTAGTAATGCAGTAGCAGTACCACTTTGTAAGACAGTAATGCAGTACCAGTACAAGTAGTATCAAAATTTTGTAAAAGTAATTCAGTATCAGTACCAGTACTTGCAAAATCGCTGCAGTACATACTGCAGTACCAGTACCAGTAATGCAGCTCTGATAATGAGCAACAATTTCCGTCAATTCCGTTATTATGTCTTTTACATGCCGATTTTATTGTTTTCATTTTGTAAATAATCGGTGGGAACAGATGAGCTTTATTATTTGAAACTGAAAAACTGAGAACAAAAATTATATTATAAATGGTTAAGCTACGATATAATTTACAAGTAGGGTATGCGTTCCGTTCAGTCATTTTATGTTCAGCGCCGCGGAACTTTACCGCCGATTTTGTCGTAATGCATGTCTTTATCGCCGATAAGAACAGGTCTACGCCTCTACGGAATGTATTTTCTATTTTTGCACTGGAGTATCATTCTTCTCTATTTAAAACAAAATTACAAATAGAGTTAGACATGATAAACTACAAATTATTTGTAAAGAAGGAGCTCGTTTTTGCAAAGGTATTTTACGCTTTGCACCGATAAATTTGATACAGATGTATACACGACAGGATGTTTCAATAGTATTGAAGAAGTTTTTACTATATTGAAGAGAAAATTTAGGTAAGATTATCGAATCGAATTTTCCACAGACAAGAGACATGGCATCAAAACATACCTTCAAACTAAAGTGTGATTTCTATTTGAAAATGAATTGCCTGAAAAATTAAACAAAAGTTTTCAAGAGGATTACCGCCTGTTTATATTGAAAATTTCTCTGCTATTCGCACCGAAATATCAAAGTAAAAAAATAAACTGCGAGATTAAGGAAATATTTCATTTCAATAAGAAAGTTAAACTTTATTGTCTTTATAATTAATTTAAATATTTATAATCTTAAAACTTCACGCCAGAAGTAACTAAAAAACTAAAACTGCTTATTTGTACAGCCGACGTTAACAAATTGTTGAGAAAAAAATCAGACAGGTGTTTGACCGAAGCCGTGCAGTTTATGTTTACTGGAGGACTTTTGATTATTTTGTGTGGAAACCTATCAAGCTACATGTAGATTCAAAATATCGATGGTTCCCTGCAGGTGCAACATTTTGCCTGAAATAATGCACAAAGGCGCACCTGAGGTCTTCGCCCCCCAGTCAAGCTAATGTGTTGAGTGAAAGTTTGAAAACAAACCTACAAAACAGTCATTACCCAGAACATGCAGAACCACAGTTTACTTTGAGCGTTGCTAGCCAAAATAAATTCAGGTTCATACATTGTAGATTTCTATATTTTTTTTCCAAAAAATAGGGTTAATATTGAACCTACAGGAAATTATAAGAAAACTATTTTTAAAAAAAATACGATAAATTAAGTAACATGCACATGTTTAACTGTAAAGTAGCATACGAAAGTTATACTTTCAAATTAAATAATATATTAAGCATAAGCAAGAGAACATCGCTATTCACCGCAAATAATCTGGGGGTTTTTATCTAGCGCAAGTGATTATTTCACAAAATAGACATATATTGCCAAAATTATCCGCCAAAAAATACAACTGCGTCGTATCATATTTTATTTTCTACTGCGTCGTATCATTTAGTAAAAATCATAATTGTCTTAGAAAATAAACATATCTTTCTAATGAAATTTTAGTAAATGATGCAAAATTATATTTCGAAGTTAATTGTAAACTCTGTAATGAGTATACATGTATAATTTATTGGAAGGAAAAAACGATGGATAAAGCAATATGAACTGCGTCGTATACACACATTTTCATAAAAAATGCTGCTCCGTTTCGAGTTGCAAGTTCGCTATAACTTTTGTTTTACAAAATAGTTGTGCAAGCAACATATACCGAACGAAGCGGAAAATAGTGTAGCGTGTTAATACATATATCTGTTTTTCAGTCATTTCAAACAAAAATAGTTATTAACAAAAACATACGTTTTTCGTTACAAGATGGCGGCGTTTGTTTACATTTTGTAGGAAACGACGCAGTTTTGATTCCCAGCCCTGTAATAATATAATGTAAGATAATTAAGCCGCTTATGTGTTTGTCATAAAGTAATTAATCAATATAGTGTTTGTATTAACACGCGTACAATGAACAAATGAGACAATGGGATATTGTTTATTTTTGTCCGTAAAATACCAATCATATAAAGGAGTCCATACGAAAAATGTTGTTCGTTCTTTGGCATTGTAAGAAATGAGGTTGATTACACAACATGGTTTTCAATCCGTACAAAAGCCCAAAAAATCCCTGTAATGCAAAAAAATTTCAATGTACCAACAAACAATTTATTTTGTCACATTAAAAAGTCATTTTAGACCCAATTTTTTCCCTTTTTTGGTGATAAAAAGATCGGCTTTGAACCCCCTCTTGGTTTTAGCAATTTGCCGTTGCTTTCATAAATTTTTTTTGTATATCCCAAGTCGATAATTTCTTTCCTTGCTAAAAAGCCAAATAAAAGGAAGGCGATATTTTGTCGATACATTTATAAAACATTTACAGTATTTCTGTATTTCTGAACTTTATAACGAGTATTTACAACCTATGACAAATTACCAGGTAATTCGTTGGTTTGATCTTGAAAACATACGGATTCCTCTTATTTGTACCCAAACAAGGGGGTGGAGCGTTATCGATAATTGGCTGGTTACAGGCAAAGCAAATAAATATTGGCATGGAACCGGTTGAATTTTTTTATATTTTCTGAACTGGTATCTTCCAAAAATAAACCATTTCAAAACTAAAAGAAATTCAATTAGACAATAAAGATTCTATAACCATTAATCTAAAGCAGGCTTCTTTACAGGTTTTTTCAAACGTTAAACTGATTGACAGGGTTATAGTATTTTATATATACATGTATTTCTATATTACAAAATTATAACGATATTTTATTCTTACAATATGCAAACATATAGGTAAACAGAAGTGCAACATTAAATTAACGTAACCGACATATTGTCAACATATGCAATATTCTAAAGTTGATTTTTGTTATTTAAAGAAAGCAATATAATATACATGGCTAGTAAATTAAAGTAGGATATTTTACAGCGTAATATATACGTATCCTGCGTTACTGACTAGTGTTATAATTTTTGCGCCATTAAATACCTTGTAAATATGCTGTAGCCGAGCCTGTGCCTTTGATTGCATTCTTTGGTAATGAGAGGTCAACTGTAGATTCTTGCTCCAAATATCCAGTATCGGAATATTTAGTAACTGTAAAAAAATATTCAAAAGGACTTATCTGTCAAACCTTGAGAACCGACAAAATTAAAAGGGTTGCAGACAGCCTATACATGGACAGATCTTGCAAATGTTAAAGCAAAATTCAGATTATCTACATGAAAAATGCGAAATTTTGAAATCAAAATGGTAAAATTTTGAAATAAGAAGCAGTCGTAGATATATCCTTAAGACGTTATTGTGACACGTACATACAACAACAAGGAAACTGTTGTTGTTGTTTTTTAATCAGATGTTAAAAAGATCTTGTCTTTTTTTAAAGTAACACTATATTTTTTGATTATCGGTTATCGAAATTTTTAACAATATTTATTTAAAAACCATTATTCATTGTTACAACTTTCAAACATCCTTGCTATCGTCTTTTCTTTTCTTGGCTATATGTAGCCCGGTTAGGATTAGAATAATTATTTATCTAAATATTTCTTATACAAGTACATGATAGAGACCTACATCATAATTATGGAATATTAAAATCATTTTCAGTCCAAAATACCCCCAGAACCCCTTAATATTGTAAAATATTAAGAGAATCGGTGACAATCTTGACGCCATCTTTGACTTCTTCGCTAAGCTTCAGACTTAGCAAAATTAAATTTGAACATGCAATATGTAAACCTTTTGAAACATCCACAGAATACTGATTAATAGTAACCGCATGTTCATTCTTTAGTAACATTTTGTTTTTTCTTTTATAGTATGGTTTGTCAAAAATGAACTGGTAACAGAGTTATGAAATTTGTAGCAAAATTTAATAATTTGACAATGAAAGCCGATGTCATTTCGAAGTTAACGTCAAAGCATATTCAAGTGTACATTCAATTTGATGTTTACCATAAAGTTTCATGGGGCCAACACTGAGATAAAAGGCCCGACTTGGACATGCGACCAATACGCGCATTTCCTTCAAATATTAAAAAGTCTTACAATACGAATTGATATCCGTGATATAGTACGAACTAACACGAAAACAAAATTCTAAAAGAAGTATGGACAACACCAAAATAATATTATCATCACCATCCTATTTCAATCGGTAGAAAATTACTTCAATAATTTACTTGTTGGCTTCCTCAATCAAAATATAAATCAAATGAAGTTAAATTTCGTTTGCTCGAACTCAGATCGCTCGAATACCTCCATTCGCTCGATCCAAGAAAAATTTATATATAATCTATATTGTTCTACCTCGAATTGCACACGAACCGATCGCTCAAACTCTCAAAATTAATATCTGGTCCATGGTGGATGATTTTGCCATTCGTGTTTGTTACATGAAAATAGTTTAACCTCGTTTTGCTCGAAACACCGATCTCTCGAAAACAATTGTACAGGCCCTCCGAGTATGAGCAAACAGAGTTTGACTGTATGTCTTTTTATAACAAAAACAAAATCTAACACTTTGACCTTAAAGGTCTTAATCATTTTAAAATCTACGCAACAAATTTTTCAGCATGACATTTTGTCAAAAATGATGCCTTGTTAAAGTATATATTAATCATTCAATTACTAAATTATAGCAAATTCAGAAAAAAATAGTTAGAGGTCAATACTTGGTGCGATTGATTATGTCATCTAAACTTAAAATTCTGTGTGCAAGTGAGTACAGTTCATTCACCGACAGCAGCCATTTTGAAACTTACTGAGATGTTATTACGTCAATTCGCATGTGCGCTCATTCACTCGCCCTTTATTGAAAAAAATGGAGAGTAGCAAGGTGGACAAACTTGCATAATGACCCAAATCTTGACATTGAATTACACTATATTTTGTTTCAATATACAGTAACGAAGGTATTCTTTTTACAAAAAAGGTAAGGAACATTTAAAGATCAAGGTCAAATTCAGTCCGAACTGTTAAGGTAAAATTAAGGCTAAACTTTTAAAGTATTGTTGTGTTCAAGTATGAAGTACATTCTGCATAACTCATTAGAGGCACTTAACCATATGTTTAAAGGGAGACACCGACAAAACTTCCTTCGTTTTGAATTTTTCATTCATTATTCGGTAAAGTCGGTTATTCGGTCCTCAAAATGAATAAACATGGCAGTCACAAGAACAAATTGTTTTCTCATAATAAAGTATTAAGTTATATGTTTTTTAATCTGAACCGCGTGGGTCAGGTTAGAGCGTTAAGATTTCACAATATTTGTCAGAGTGAAATTTGGAAGCGTCAAAGAACATGTCAAATGAATGACTTACTCTTGTTTCTTTTTTTTTTGTTTTGTTTCATTTCACGCCATTTTCCAACAGTATTTCAGTCATATAGGCGGGTAGTTTCCTAACCATCGTTCCTGGAGAGTTACACCAGTACTAGACTACCTTCCTCCGCGCTAAACTACTACAGCATCTCCCGGGGATCGAACCCACGCCAGAGAGGTAACTGGATTAGAAGTCGTTGACTCTAACCCCTCGACCACAGAGGCGGTATTACTCTTGTTTCAATCATACAATATCCACAGTATCTGTTATTGTAAATTCCAGAGTTTGGTCAAGTCACAAAAGTAATTCGGCTTGTTTCAATCATAGTATATCCACATCATCTGTTATTTTAACTTCCAGGGTTTGTTCAAGTCACAAAATTTGTTTTAAACTACTCGGTGTTTCTGTCGACTTCTATATTTTGTTCAACATATATTAATGAATTTACGCATCAAACCCAATATGTTTAGAATTTATTACAAACATTGTGCTGGGACTTTAAAAAATGTCATTTTAGAGTGATTTGAATTCATTTAGATCATTTTAATATTTTTGTCGTTATTTTGCCTGCGTATCCCGTTAACGTTCTGACAGGATTATGTCAATGATATTCTCATCTCCTTTTGGAACAAAATGTTGCAACAATGTTGCAACAAAGTTATAATGAAATCAAACCAGAGAATTGAAAAATAACACGGAAACGAAAGCAGACCGCAAAACTAATTATTGGCAACAACTATTTGTCGAATAGTTCAAATAAAAATTCACGAGGATATGTGCATCTCCCTTTAGCATACAATGTTCCTACAGAGTTTCATCGGAATTTAGTTTTACAGTTGAATCTGATTTTTGTACTAACGATTCCGATAAAATTATGTTAAAATTCAGTCTGCAGTTGCCAAGATATGGGAGATTTAAAAACATTTTACATGTTGAATAGTCAGACAAGGACATGACGAGGATATGCCCTTTTCCTGTTAGTATTAATGGATTCTATAATATAATGTTAAAATCAAGTTAGCAGATGAAAAGAAATAGCGCAGAAAATATTTACTTTGTAAACATTCTAAAATACAAATCAGGGGCAAGTAATCTGAGTTGAATTGTCCCATCAGGACTTGAAAATAAGATATGGACCTCCTGTAAATATTAGATGTTCCCACAAATTGTAATTTAAACACATTCAGTAGATGCTGAGAAAAGTGCTGAAACGAATGTTACATTTTATGTTGAATGTCAAATTTTCAAACTCTATCTAATAAATCGAAAAGGGCGACCCAAGAGATTTAGTCAAAGTCTTGCGTGATAATAAGCAAGATTTAAACTAGCGCATTAAAGACACCCTACGTTTCTACAATTTCTTTACTTGTTTTAACTCTGTTGCCATCTTCGCAGTCTTTGCTTTGCTTGGTTGGATCTAGACACACTTGTATCGATATTATTTCCTGAATACCCTCATTCTGAAATATATTTTTACCATTATGCTAGATTAAAATGTATTTAATATAAATTTAGGTAAACTACATATTTGTAATTTTTAGTAACATTTTTAATATGCACATATACTGTATATTTAAAGATTCAGATTTATTTAATGTAAGAATAATAACGAATTGTAAGGGGTTAGTTACACGCAACTACATCTTCATGTATATTGTTTTGTTGTTGACCTTTCTGACAGCTGTCATCTGTCGAATAATATTTATACTTGATATGTTTGTACACTGTAAGATAATTAATAATTTCAATCTTTAATTATATAGAATTGTGTGTTCATTTCATTTAATGCAATACCGACAAATAAATAAAACCCCTTTCAATAACTTTAGAATACTGTGTCACATATTTACCCCACCGTACCTACAATCCATCAATTTACACGAAAGCAAAAAAAAACGACATCAGCTTGCTTTAAACGAACTTTTTTTATTGAAATTTTATTTTGAATTTAGAAACATCCACAGATGTGTTCATACGGAGGTTATCATGGAACCTTCAATGTGACACATTAGTGTCATTCCATGAAAGAGTCTGCAACATGTTGAACACTGTCTATTTTGGCGTACTTTTGGAACTCTTTTCTCTATACTATTTTATTTGAATGAGCCTGTTCATCGGCACGAGATGTGTTCATACGCCGGTTATCATTGGACCTTCAATTAGGCATCCACTTAAGTAAAATAATGCGTGTCACCTAAAGTAGTAAATAAAGCGAAACTAAAACAAACATAAATGGACTTTGAAGTGTTTTCAGAGGTTATAAAGCCTTTTTATTACAGACAAGCTGTCAAAAGATGGAATTAAAAGCAGGCACCATATCTTAAAGTAACACACCCCTAACGGGCACTATTAGGATCTGTAAAATTGACAGCATAGAACTGTTATATTCCTTAAATATCACCTGTATGCAAAATTTAATCAAAATTGACCATGTATTTGTGAGTTTTGGACATTTTTCTGAACATTTTTCTAAAACTTTGCTGTTAGAAGGGCTTTTTTCAGAAATGAGGAAACTGTAAATAATCAATAATATCATCATTATGGAACATGTTTTTCAATTGCGTATTGTTAAGAAACAAATAATGACATTCAGAAACAAATTAAGTTTACCAAAATGAGGGGCTGTGTTCAAAGTTTGCATAAATTTTCTTAAATGTATCTTGGCTAGTCTTGCAATATATAAAATACTTTTATTGTGTAGTTTTTATTTAATTAAACTTTGAAAATATCTGGTATCATATTTGCCATTTAATTTGGCATTTTGTAGCAAATAAACACCTATTTTAATTAAATAATTAAAATTAAACAAAAGGGATCTACTGTTTTGGTGACATTTTTGATTGTGTCCCTTGTTGTTTTCTCGTCTACGGTAAGTATCTTCCCCATTACCCCTAGTTTTTATTTCTTTGATTAACCCCCCCTTCCCCCGGTCTCCTGGGACCGTCCCCTTCCCCTTTGTGGGCATTTTATTCTATCATTCATTTGTTTTCTTTGAATTCCTAATCAGTTACAAATTATTTATCATTTAGTGATTAACCTGTCCGTGCTCTGTCTTGCCCTGTCCTGTTTTTGTTTGGGGTCCGCCTGGGCTCCTTGCCGCTGGTTCTTGTTGCTGGGTCATATGGGGGTTGCGTTCATTGAATGCCGCCTTTCCTTGTTGATCTTGTTTATCATATTCTAAGAGATTCATAAAAAAGTAAAAAAATAAAAAAAAGAAAAGTTGCCCCTTCTGGGTTTTGAACCCGAACCTCTCAGTTTCAATGCACTTGAGAGTGATTCTAGCCTATTTGAATCTTCTTCAAAGTGGAAATAATACATTATTGGTGTACTACCATAAGGACAATTATACAGTATTCATGTAACGAATACTGAAACCAATCATCTAGACAAATAAACCCGAGCAGTGCCAGTTAGAGGAACTATAACCTTGTCTTGAATAAAAGGCATAGTAACTATAGGAAGAGTGTTTCAATAACATACTGACATTAACAAATATTTCCTCAAAGTAAGAGTTATCCCAATTATTTAAAATATAATCCATGTGACTTAATGACAAAAATATGACAATACCCAACCATCAATGAAGTATTTTGACATATTATAACCATCATCTTTGAAATTTTCGACCTAGCCTTTGAATGTGACACGTTTGTCTGATGTGTCACAATACTATGCAAAGTTGTTTTAAATCCATTCATGGATGACAATTCATGACTAGAAACAACCATAGATGTACTTTGTGAAACTACAAATATCTTGAAAAAAAGTGATCCCCGGAAGCATTAAAATCAGCAAAATTACATGAAAATTTGCAGAATTGGTATGTTTATTCGTTTAGGGCAAACGCTTTCTTTTACTTGGGGACCACACACTGAAGGTTTCATGATAACCGCCGTATGAACACATATGCGGATGTTTTTAAATTCACAATTTTAGCATTACATGTTTAAATGTTGAATATGCTTATATCATTACAACTTAAGCCGGTGTTATGGGGCGTGGACGGTATTTTGCACTTGCTATTACCGTTCAAGTACAAGCTCGACAAACAGAGCCTGCAATACTTTTAAATTTGCCGTGTAAGTCTTCTTTAGGGATCTTATTTTCTCTATTTGATTGAGTCTGTACATGAGGGATAATGAAAAATTGCAACATCTCTCAAGCCCCTAGCACGGCTTGAGAGGTACTCTATTACAAGTTTTAGCTAAAACCAAGTTATTTCAAAATCTGTCATTGAATGACAAAGATACATGGGCCGAACATAGCTATCAATGCACTGTCATATCCCGTATTTCACTTCAGTGTTGTCATATTTTCTGGTCATTCGGTGAAATTGATGCCAGAACTATTTGGTGTTGAGATTGAGTACCGCTCAGGCCGGTGATAGGGGGCGTGAGGGATGTTGCACTTATTCGTTATTCCTCATGTACAGACTCAATCAAACCGATTGTCATGTATTTTTTTGTGATTTATGCTTCAGAGGGATCACCTTGTTTCCAGATTTTGAAAATACAAGCATGAACTTGATCTTTTGCTACTGAGCTTAATTTTGCTCATTTCATATGATCTTACTATGCAGCATATTATACATAATTATGTCCACCCTAGAATGACAAAGTTATGTTAAAAAACGACAATATATTTACAATCATCAAGTTTGACATACAAGTGAGACCTTGAATTTTGAACTGAACACTTTCATCCTATTCCCGACACGCATCATCATATCTAACACATGTATGACAAATTATTTTATAATCAAGGATCGGCATAATTGTTGACTGACACAATAATAAATGCATATTGACAAACTTCAAATCATGAATTTGAAACATAAGTGTGACCTTGACCTGTAAGATAGGGACCTGATTCATGATCGTAACATATTGTCATTATGCTTAACTCATTTTAAATCTATCCTAGAATGACAAATTATTGACAGGACACTAATATCAGTGTGTTTTTATAAAAGACAATCATATCATGACATTTTATATACAAGTGTGACCTGTACTTTTGGGGTAGCTACCCCATTCTTGATCACTGCACGTCGCCGTTACTTCCAGCACATAAGAATTCTTTAATCCATCCACCAATGACAGAATTGTTGATCTGACACAAACTGCATTTTATTTAAATATTTCCATTGAAGACAAGTGTGACCTTGACCTGCAGACCTAGATATTCCACATGACAAATTCCCCTTATGTTGCAATTATAAACAGACACATTCAAACCTAGTAAACAAATTTGATATCTAGTTGTTGTTATCATTGCTGACACTTGTGACTGAAAGGTTACCTTCAATAAAGGAGACATGTAAATTGCAGTCATCGTAAAGTCCTGCGTGATTGTACAGGCAATTGAATAGGTTTCACTAACTAGAGTCTAATCATCTTAAAGCTATAGCAGGTGAGTTGTGTTTTATTCCCTTCCAGTGCCAGTGACATATGACCATACTGTATTGTTGTGCCGTACAAGCAAACGAAGAAGCTTCAGATGGATCATAGATTGTTAAATATGATGGGATATGACATTACAAGATAGTGGAAACAGAATCCCCAAATAAAGCAAATCATATGATTAACATGATCAACACGGCGTTCAATGAACACAGTGGCCCTAACACGACATAATTAAAAATGTTGCTGGTTTGGTTTGATTAAGTTTGTTCATGGTCAAAAGTGGTAATTGCAATCTACAAGCCACATACGCAGCATCGACTTAAATCGAATTCAGCATTTAACATGAACTGGTGAAATTTGAAACTATTAAACAAAATCAACAAAGAAGGAAAGGCGGCGTTCAATGAACGCAATCCCCATATGACCCAGCAACAAGAACCAGTGGCAAGAACCCCAGGCGGACCCCAAACAAAAACAGGACAATCAAAGAAATACAAATTTTGACGAAGACAAACAGACCCTTCCATCGTTTTTACTGAGCTATATAATTTCCAATTTTTTATGACACCACAAAAGTCTATAAACATGATGTTTTCGTATGGCAGTTAAAACATACTTCAACATAAAGATCCTTTTCGATTATATCAACCGTTGGAATTCCTAATTCGACGACGATGGCTGTAACCTTCACCGAAAACTTTCCTGCTTTTAGCGGTATAATGGGAAATCGAACAGTAGTGGCACTGTTTGGACCTACTTCGATTGATTTTCTTGGGGACGGCTTACCTGGGCTCGAACCATAACACAAACCTTCCACTGCCTCCAAGTACATGTTTGCCTGAAAATTAAACACAGAAGAATGACGTTTTAAATACGTAAAAATGCAAATATCCACGTTAAATAGTTTACAGATAAAACATGGACAATGAAACGACTCACTTTCCTAACCTTTTCGAAGCAAAACATTACTTAAGAGAAATATTTTATGATTTCTAAAGTTAAGCGATGGTTCTTAATATTTTGTTCATGAGCTGTTGAAAAGAAATGAGAACACTAAAATGACGGTTGTTTGATATGAAATATGAATTTAACGTGCCTCTAAACCATCAACTAAAATGAGCATTACATCCCTTCAAATATTCTCCACTGTTTAAGAAAATAGAATTTGATGCCCGAATGCAAAACGGTACGATGATCTAAGTAGTCCTTTGAGGGACTGACTTATGGATAAGCAAAGTGTTTGCCGGGACTTGTGGCAACGACCAGAATAGACAGCTTAAATTTTTGGAAAAGGAAAACTTCGCATTAGACTAATTCTTGAGAGTATCGTTGGTGTAGCAAAAAAAATGGGATAAAAAATAAAAAGGCAAAGCGTCGTTGACAGGACCCAATTCAAGATATTTCCCAGAATGGGAGATGACATAAGGATGGCAAAAAGAGGGGACAGACATGTAATAATGCGACAAAAATGTTTCACAAGCTCAGAGTGTGTGATTGACCATTACCATTAAGAAGACGAATATTCCTAACCTGACACATGGCAAAGATTCTGACAATATTTCTTGGGCGTTAACATCTAAGTATTACCAACATATATCTCTTATTTGTCCCCATGGTCATTTTGACGGAAACAAATAGACCCTTCCAGCGTTTTTACTGAGCTATATTAAATTTTCAAATTTTTATGACACCACAACATCTGTAATACAGCATCTGCGATGGGGTTGCATATAGCGATTCAAAAGTGTATGCATGCGTGTGTGCATTTTTTTCATGATTGTTCCTTGGGCTTTTAAAGAATTTATTCCATAGAGAAATCTAGATGCTATGGCAACCAAAAGGAATAACAATACACTTTAATTGTTTTTAAAGAAAGAATTGAGACCAAGAGCTCATATATTTTGCATAAGGCATGGTCTGGTAGACCACCACCAAGACTGCTCAAATTATAGCCTAAGGTGTTAAAATTCGAAGGTTACATGTTTTCCTAATATTTGCATAGGAAAATGTTAACAATCTTTTTCTTCAAAACTACAAGGGCTATTACATAGATATTTTGCATAGAATATTGTCTTGTTAACCTCTACAATTAAGATGAAGCGATGATCTCTAGTAAATAAGTGTTTGCTTTGCAGAGATGTGTTTTTAGCAAATTATTAGGACATTATGATTTACATCATGTATATACATAAATGGTGACTTTGAATAATAAATGTGTTTACGTTTTCAGAAAATGCAGTATTCAAAAAGAAGTGCAATTTTGACAATATAGCGGATCGTGCTCATGCCATCACTTTCAATTATTTCCTGAATATTGGTCGTACAAATAAAAATCAGTTCACCAACCATTTTTACAATAGTTGTCCTCCATGGTTCGCTCGCTCTATTAAAATTGAAACTATTTAAAACTGTAAAATTATCAACATCCACGGAATTGTGCAAAGTGTTATTGCTATGTAATACAATAAACCTTACATATTCAGCACCCCTCGCACTTTACTGCTATTATAATTAGACATTACCACTAGATTTTTGGGGCGTCCGTGGCCGAGTGGTTAAGGTCGTTGACTTCAAACCACTTGCCCCTCACCTCTGTTGGTTCGAATCCCGACAGGGACTTTGGATTCTTTCATGTGAGGAAGCTATCCAGCTAGTTTACGGAACGTCGGTGGTTCTACTCAGGTACCCGTTCGTGCCTGAAATAATGCACGGAAGGGCACCTGAGGTCTTCCTCCACCAGTTAAGCTGGAACGTCGCGATATGACCTATACTGTGTCGATGTGACGTAAAACCCAAAACAAAAACAAAAACCACTAGATTTCTGCTTGTATAACTCAAATAAGCATACAAGAAACTGACGAAGCATGATCAATGGTAGGACATTGCGCACCTGCTTAATGCTCCCACTCGACCATTTTTTGTAGAAATTCTTTCGACTCAACGTAAAATTACGATTTTCAATAAGCAAAACAGAGAGTATCAAAATATATTGAAGCTCACCAAATAATGGCTATAGTCATTGACGTAACTGTAAGAAAGATTACCAGATTTATTTTCCGGTTTGAGCCTGAAAACGAGATAATTTTTCTCTCTTGGAGGGCTCCAACACGACTTTTCCCAAAACATTAAAAAACATCAGTTCAAAAATCTACTTGAAAATTCTTTTACTCTTACCAGAGCAAAGACATAGTAATGTTTACAAATTTTTCTAATTTGGTTTCCAATACTTTTATTAAAAGTCAGTTTTTCTTTTCTTTTTTTTTTCTTGGAAATGGAAATGTTTCTAGTCGGATTCGGTTTCAGTGATGCTCCAACTCGAACTTGCTTTTTACATATCTAAACGAAATACACGGGATACCACTTTAAATTTCGAAAACTTTTTCAAAACATTCATTTAAAATCATCTAAAGCATGACTATTTTATTGAAATGTACATTTAATTAGACAAAAATATATCCTTTGTTTTCATATACTTTCAGATTTTAAATAGAATGTTTTCAGATGGCCTAAATAATAAATAGTTACTGTCGATGTTAAACCTCTTACAAAGATATTGAGCAGATGCGTCATTTAAAAAAGAAATCTAATGTATGTTTTCTTTCAAGTAAAGCATGGACCAAATTGTCTGCATTGAATTAAAATGCAATGACTTACATTGTATTTGTTTGTTGAACTTGTGATTCGCATTTTGTCGGCCGAAGGCCGTCTACTGTTTTCAGTTGGACTTCCTGTAAATTGTACAAGGAAGAACTGAGAATATGTTAAAATTGCATTGGTCATTTTATTATTTACAATTTGAAATCTCGGAATCTGATCGGCGATTATAGCATTAGTAACAAAAATACACAAATGATTTTTCTGACATAGTATACGCGTCTAATTTTTAATTTGTCTAAAGGATCTCTGGATTTATAAGTTATTTTACTATCAAGTTAAATTCTGTTTAACCTTGTCTTCTCCTACACATTTTAAATTTTATGTTACCTCGATACAAATTATTTTACGCTGTTTAATGAATTACACATTTTGTCAAACATAAACCAAACCACCACTTACAATTACGTCCATGATCTGGTAAACAAATTTAATCGCAATTTTTCGGCCCTTTACTTTAATTTCAAGGGTGTTGCAATTTATTGATTCGGGTATTTCGTTTCAACAAAATGTGGTAATTTACATTCTTTTTAATTTCAATTACTTAAGTGTTTTCTTTGAGCTAAAACGACATTCACAATAAAATAAATAAAGAATGACATAACGCTAAGAATACAAAAGATGTGTACAAAATAAATTGTTTTGTTTCAGTTCTTGTTTACATGTAATTTTTCTCTTTTTTTTTTGAGATCGAGAGATTTACTTCAGATTTTACAATTTGTTTCTATTTACAATACTTTGTATGTGCCAACACATGTTTTTGATTTTAGATATCATAATTCTTATTATTCTTCTTCCATGATTCCTAAGATACGATATGCAAATAAACCAGTTTTAGTTCGGTTTAAAAGATACTATAGGGTTAACGCACGTTTTTCCGTGTTATAACGTCTGCAGAGTCCCGAGGAACGGTTGGTACCGGGCTCGGGCTCCAACAGTTCTGAGGGACTATGCAGACTTTATAACACGAAATAAATGTGCGTTGACGCTATTATAGCATAAAATTTTAAAACAGATTCATGATGTATATTTAATACAAAATACAATTACATAAAATCCTTGTGCTTGGACGGTATTGATCCAATTCTACATGTTTTACGTATGCATTTTATTTTTCCGAGGCTAACAACTTGGGAAATTCTCAGAACCGAACGAACTTTTGAATTTTAAATGATTTAACAAAGCTTGACATTAGAGATTTATTATCTCAAGAAAAAACAACGTTACATTAACTCAACCCTCTACCCAAGACAAAACATGACCCTCAGAAATTCTTAGAATGATTTCATATTGACGGTAGAAAAAAGATTAGTGACATCAAAATCGTTTTTTCTTTCAAGCACACAAGAAAAAAAAATCGTGGACTAAATGTTATTCTCTCAAAGAAATATAAAGAGCATTTATCAATAGAAACATCAATAATACAACATTTTCTCATATTCATTTTGTGTTATCTTGTTTTGTAAGTTAATCGGGGGGTTAAACTGAATATTTTTTTTACATTGACAACTGTCCGTTTCTTAGAAAGGGCGACAACCAAAATTAGCAGCGATTTCTATACGCCGTATTTCCGGCATAGTTACTTGAATGTTGCCGTATCTAATGCGACTGAGGCCCTCCAATATAACAAGAGCGTATGACTCTTTGGCAAACAGGCAAAATCGTAATTTTTTGGGGTTCGTTTACTGGGCCCTGTGTGTATTGCGCATAGGTGAAACCGGGCTATAACAAGAGCGCGTGACTATGTTAACACATGGTTTTGGTCCCGTTATAACATGGGCAAAATAGGGAAAAATAGCCGATTATATGCTATAATTCTTGTTTAAATATAAAAATGGTATCTTTATGAACATGAAAGAGTCAATATTTCCATGGCAATGAAACGTCAAAGCCTAGACCATGAAAAAATATCCACTCTAATTACAAAGAAATGAATAGATAAATAAATAAAACCCCTTTAAAATATCAGTTCCGGTGTTTATTTTCTGTAATTCACCTCTATTAAACAAGTCCAATATAAAATTTTAAGTTTATATCTCAGATATTTGCAACATATTATTTAGAACGCTTAATGTTTTAAAAAACTTGTTTAACAAACTTTAAATGTAGTCTATGAATGTCTCTAAGTATTGTAAATATAAGTGGAGATTGCATTACTCGTAGAATGTGTTGATCACATTTTCAATGAATATTTTCTTCAGGGGAGTGTGGAGGGAATCCTTAAGAAGACAGCAAATTTATTGATTTTTTTTTCAAATATTATTAATCAAGCCTGTAAAATACAGTTTATCACATTTGGCACATTTTAGTCTGCATGTAATTGTTTTAATACATTTTTATTTAATTTACATTTAAGCATTAAGGTGTAAATGTTTTAATTTATAACATATCTATTATAATCTGATCGCTTATGCGTTTTTTTCAGAATAGAATAGGCATGGGTTGATTCATTACAAAGGTAAAAGAAAAATCACTGCATGGAAACGGACCTGTTTTTGGCCACGCAGCAACAAATATGGCGGTTCAGGTTGTCAATGTTTTCAATCACACTCCCTGAGCTACTGGAATTAAAAATTGTAACATCAAAGATGTCATTTTAGTAGTTAGACTTGATGTTCCTGTGCCATTCGGGGGCTTAATCAGAGTTTTCAACGTAAACATCTGACCAGGACCTACTGACGATTTTCAAGAAAGACAAATAGTACTACATGTGTATTCCATGTATTTCGTTTTAATATTTTTGACAGCAAAATTTCTGAGTCCGTGTGGGAGCATCTCTGAAATCGAGTCCGACCGGGAGTATTTTTTCATTAAAAAAAAAAACATTTAAAAAACTGACTTTTAAATAGCACTATTAAAAACCAATCGTGATAAATGTAACATTATTCGGTTTATGCTCTGGTATCTGTAAAATATTTTAAGAAGGTCCTCAACCTAATCATCTATATGTTGTGAAATGAGCTTATTACGTTTTCAGACCTTAACCAAGCAATAAAGCTATAAACCTTTCTCTTTCTTATATTTACCTCGAAGACTGTTGCCATACTGGTGCGCTGCATTATATTTTGATACTTTAACTTTTTCTTATAATAAAATCGTAATTTATTTTCGATTAAACGGATTTTCTACAAAACAAATGGTCCGAGTGAGAGTATATAGCAGGTCATCGACAACGTAGTTACGTACCATTGTGTATGTACTTTCCATAAATCAGTAACAGTGTGAATAAAGATTGCAAACCCACGTAACTTTTGAGATAAAATGAATTTTCTCCATGTTAATTTTGTATATATTTTTTCATTAATACCGAGTCGATTTTCAAAAAGAAAAAAGAAACGAAATTATTTTACCCTATGTAGTAGTACTTTAATCTGTTGTCAACTATTACTTGTGAATACATCTGTTTTTCAACGATTGTTCAGTTATTGATTCAGTTTGGAAAAAAAAATGAAAATAAAATAGTCGTTTTAGATTTTTTGCAATTTATTTGAAGATGACGTTCGCAGAATTGTCGAATATTAAAGAAGACTTAATTTAGAAAATATCTCGAATTTATTCTAACAAAAAGTTCTGTCGCTAGATTTGCTATCTCGTGATCAATTTGTTTCTTACTTGTTTGATAGGATCCTTTTCAAGTCCGTAATTAAACAATGTAGCCTTAACTTCAAATAATTCAAATCTTGTTGCTTTGTACGGAAGATCTAGTTGGATGAAGAACTTTCTAAACACTTTTACATCCACTGGATCAGCAATACACATTCCACTATTCTCAGTTATCCCTACACATAAAACAAAACAATCTGATAAGTTAACTGATTCTACAGTCGTAGAATCATGGAGCCAAAACAGTGTAACAAATCATCAAAACTTTATGTATAATGGATGGACCTGAAATCACAAGACCCTGCAACAAAAAAGGGGAAAAAAATAACCTTATAGGATCTACATCCTGAAACAAAAGAAAATTACAATCTGACATAGATACAACAGAAAAATATAAATAATAACAATATAAACCCAGAGTAATTAAATTTAAAATCGATGTTAAACGCACTAATTATTATCTTGATCAGAATTAAAAGCGTTAGAAAATATTTATCGTATAAACATTACTGTTCCAGACTGTCATTTAATGATATTTGAGATTCGAAATATTATTGCTACGTATACGATAGTCATCTATGACAGACGATTGCTTTCATGATTTTTATCTACCTACGGATTGTGCATTGAAATGATCTGAGATCATATATGCCATACAATTCATAATGTGTCTGCTGGCAGCTTAATTAAACACACTGCCGAATTTAATGTAGCTTTGAATGTCAGTTATGTTTTCTATTGTGCAGTATTGTCAGTAAATTTGTCAGTATATGTGACTGCATGTATTTTGATTTCCATGGAAAGTTCCATTTTAGAAAAAAAAATCCATTGCGTCAACAAATTTTTTTCTTTTGATTTTTAATTAAAATTTTACTTATCATACAAAAACTTTAGAAAATCATATTAAAATGTTTCGATATTTTAAAAAATTTACAAAGTTCTTTTTTTTTCTTAGTTTATGTTCAGTTTAAAAGCACGAAAAACTCATTTTTTAAAGAAAAATGTTCCGATTATCATTTGTGTTATACTGAATCATTAAATAAAGTTATCTTTGTATAGAATTGTGCTTGTTGTGTGTATTAAGCTGATCAGAGCTGCATTACTGGTACTGGTACTGGTACTGCAGTACGTACTGCAGCGATTTTGCAAGTACTGGTACTGATACTGAATTACTCTTACAAAATTTTGCTACTACTGGTACTGGTACTGCATTACTGTCTTAAAAAGTGGTACTGCTACTGCATTACCCAGTACTTTTGTTTTTGATAAAATTAAAAATAACATCAATTTTTCTCATAAAATAAAGCTGTAAATTACATTAACTATATTTTATTTTTGTGAAAAAGTAAGTTATCAAATCTAAAGATCATTTGCTGCAATATTCCTTCAAATGTTAACACAGTATTCATCATAAAAAGCACCAAAGACTTTAAGTAAAAATTAAATTAAGATAAACAGACTCAATAACTCTTTACCCTAAAATATCCTTATTAAAATCTTTTATTACTTTGTATTTACCAGTAAAAGAGCAAAATAAACACTTGTTAATTTCTTCTATTCTGAAAAATCCCAATTCAAGTGAAAAAAGTGATATTGTTAGCACCATAAAAAGTTGTTATTTACTTTGGTATAAATTGAACAGAGGTGTGAAGGTGTGAAAGGCAACAAAAGACTGTTGTGTTTTAAATGAAAGATGTTTGCATTGTATTTATACAGTTGACTGGTTACTAAACAATTAGATATGACATGAATATATGTTGTAAATATTGTTTGTAAAAAGTATGTTAAAACTATAAAGTTGTAAATATGTTATGTTAACTTTAAAGCAGCACACCTCCAGATTCATACTAATTTTCATGAACATTTTGAAAATGTATTTAAAGGTAAAATATTGTTTCATGAACAAAGAAAGTACTAGACACATTACAATCGGCACTTAAAATCCACGTAAATTACCAAAAAGAGGTCAAAACATGCATAAATAGCCCCTACTGCCTTAGTAACGCAGAAGAAATATGGTGATAAATACTACAAAATACAGTCATTAATTGCACATAAGATATAAATTATCACTTGAATCTTTAATTTGTTTACTTTTCTCAAAGTTTTAGTAATTTTTTTCCAAGTTTAATTTTCTTGAAATATTTTGGGTCATCTGGAGGCATGCAGCTTTAAAGTAAATTATGATTTTATTTCTTTGCTGAATAATATTTGCAATTATTTGTTTGACACTGTATTTATTCAAACTTTGATGAATATATAAAAGTAATGGTACTGATACTTAATTACTTCACCCAAAAAGTACTGGTACTGCAGTACCGAGCTAAAATCTAGTACTTGTACTGGTAATGGTACTGCATAATTTGCCAAGTACTGGTACTGGTACTTAAGTACTACACCCTTAGTACTGATGCAGCTCTGTCTGAAGCTGATACATGTTTTAATTTTTTATACACCCTGTGGCTGTTTTGGCAGTTCTAATATATACGATTACCATGGAAACTGCCATTTTACACCAAAAAAAAATTCAACGCGTCAACATATATTTTTTTTATTTTGAATTCCCCATTTAATTGTTCTTATCATACAAAAAAAATTCTATGAAAGAATTAAATTTTAGAAAATGTCTTTAAGCCAGAATCTTTACACTCATTGCTCAGTACTTGTTCAAGGGACGGATTCGTCTATAAGCTTATAGCCTCCTACACAATGAAACAAAAGTAAGTTATGTATAAACTAAGTATAGGTTTCACTAAACACGCCTATTTTTACATACTTTTTTTAAAGAAATTATAGAAGCGTAAAACTATATTAATTTGGGTAGCACATTACAAACAGAACTCTTGCATGATTTGTAACAGTGAAATACAAACTACGCTTTGTGAACTTTAATGGGATAAATATAAGCACTATCAAAAGTTTACAACCGCTTGCAATATGACAATAGAAAATACTTACAAAAGGCGAGCAGTAACAGTTTTAAATAATTAAACATACCGATAGCTTGTATTTTCCATTCGGTTATTGAATCCGGGTAACTATATATTTTAGTTGCTTGTCCATTTCTAAAAAAAGGAAAATGCCTAAAATTAGTTATGTATAAAATGCTTAGAACAAATAAACTATGTGTAAATTTCAACTTTTTAGTTACCCTTCTACAGTAACATGCAAGAACAAATTGAATTATAATGGATGAAAACCCTTGAAAAGTGCCTGCTGCCGGAGACTCGACTTATCTTCTTTTTCTGACGATCATAATTATTTTTCCTATTTGAGAAAAAACAAACGTAGTGTTGGGGTTTAAGTTGACAATCACTCCATGAGGATTAAATATATATATTTATTCTATAAAGAATAAAAACCTGTCATAAAATAACAATAAGACAATTTACATAATACAACATATTACACAACAATTCAAATTACAATAAAAACAATTTCAAGATATTTAATATATACTTACTAGAATGTGTGATAGAAGAAATCTTATATTATCATCAAAATAGAAAATTCAAATATTTCTATAAAGAAATAAATGAGTCAACTTTAAATACAAAGAATATGTGTTACAATTTTGAGAGTTAAACAAGGAGTGGTCAGAGTTACTTAGAGATGTTATATCCAGGAACCATTTGACTAGCTAAAAATAATTTTCATACAAAATCAATTATCCATCTCTCAACTTGCAAAACCAGTTCAGTCTCCCGTTACAAAAGGACAAAAGACAAACATGAACACATAACACCACAATAGATTAGGTCTGGCCTTTTTAACAAATAAACGTAAACAATCTTTAAAAGAAAACTAAGACTTTTTAAACTTATCTACATAAAGTAAGTACAAAAATATGTGAAAGAGAAACTGCATGAAGTTTTCGCGTATCACAGAAATAGGAAATGAATTCCCTAAATATTATTATTAGAAAAGATTCTAGCTCATATTTAAAGAGACGACAAAGGACTGGCTAAGCACCTATGTTTTAACTTTTATATTTTAAACAGTTTTAAATAAAACCTTTAAATACTTTTACTTTCAATATGTACCACGAAAATGTCTACCGCTTATGTAAACGATACAGGTTAAAATATACAGAGGAGAAATGTAATTGTCGTTTTGGCATCTTTTGATAAGGTTAAGGTGACAACGGAGTCAATTATCACTGAAAATACCTAAAATGAGATTTTTTGCTTAGTAGATTTATCAACCTTTTCTGAACACATTCGTGATTTAATTTTGGAAGCAGTTAGTCCAAAAAATGTGTTTTCAAACGTTTTAAAACGGTACCTGTACCATTTTTATCTGCTATTCGCGTAACCTGTCAATTATCGATAACGCTCCGCCCCCTGTTGAGGCATCAATGAGGGAAATCGGTAGTTTCATATATGCGTGAATTACCGGTCCATACTGGTCCATACTACTCGTAATTCATGTATCGTACAAATACCGTACATCTTTTATGAATATCGTCTACCTTTTATTTAGCCTTTTTTTTTATAAAATAAGAAATTGTCGGCCAATGTACGTAACATAATGTATGAAACATAAATAATTAAGCATAGCGGCAAATCGCACGACCACGGGGTTGATTAAAGATATAGTTGCTAAAATATCCATAATGTGTGAAAATAATTTGTCTGTCCCGTTAATCTGATAGATATTACATTGAGTTTATGGACTTTTGTACGGATTCAAGGGCTTGCTTTACATTCAACCTCGTTTTCTAACAATGTCAAGTAAAACAACAAGAAAAACAGACAACATTTTTTATGTGAACGCCTATATGACTTTAGGTAAGGTGTCCCTGACAAATTTCTAAACCATTTTAGATTTTAAGGATGATTATTTCTCTATGAATCAATAAAAAAAGATATTAATATATATTATCAGTGAATGCTTTGAATAAATTGTTCGCCAGTAAATCGAACACAGTACTAATAAACCTCGGACAAAGTATGGAATTTATTGTATATCCCAGTAGAAACTGGATCTCTATGCCGTGCATAGATGATTTTCATGATAATAGAAGTCAAGAAGGTCAGATGATACCTTTTATTTCTATTAAAATATATGAAGCATTTATATCAATTTGGAGGAAAAAATATATAATATCCCGTTCGTATTTGTACATCTACCATGGACTTTAAAAGACCGTCAGAAGCTCAGTTATTTTAATTTATATTTTAACGGAATTTCATACACGAATACACAGACAGAGTGACACTGGTATAATATAATAACATGGGTGCAAGTTGAAAATTTGGAAAAACCTGAAAACTGTAATTCATAATCATTTTCCTATATAATCTAATAGGAAAACATGATGAAATTTGTCACAAAAAACCTGAACTTCAGGCATATGCCTGAAAACTTGCACCCATGTAATAATAATGCTGATGATGATGATAATAATAATAAACTTCAAAAATTAAACAATTAAATACCCCGCTAGCGGTGCGCAAATACGTTCCATTTCCCCCCACCGAGTGCCTCAAATTTTACCGAAAGTCACGTGACATGTGCGCCGACAGTAAATCACGTTAAGATTTGAAGAAATTTCTGTTATAAACTGATATTAATCAGCAACTTTTTAATTGGTCAGATGTCACTGGGTCATAAAATGTTGTTAGAGTATGTTACCGCAACTTGTGACCCTCTCTGGTGCGATATTTGTGTATTATGCAATTATTTAGCGTGAAACGCAGGGGTTCGAGAGAGAACAGCCGATTTATGACACTTCGTTTGATGTGGGTCGGACTAACTTTGAATCGGCATAACTTTTTTAATAATCAAGCAATTAACATGCGGTTTAAAGCACATGAAAGGGAATTCATTTACGGAGGGAACCGTGTCAGGGATTTTTGTTTGCTCAATCAGCGACTTAATTATCTTTAATTACGTAATATGTATGGTGAAAAAAGTCGCATAAAATGTTTGACGTTACGTAATATTTTTTTGAGAAAAGATAGAAAAAAATTGAGACACGGTTCCCCAGATATTATAAGTATATTTATTTTCCAAAAGTTTGATGACAAAAAAATAAAAAATGACTTTGATATGACGATTTAAAATTTTAGGATTTTTATTAAAAATCAATCATTTACAAAGGCATTTTTTCAAATATGTTATTTTGTGTGATGATCAACGACATTTAATGCACAAAGATTAAATAAATAACAATTATTACTAAAATAAGTTGGTTTAAATGACATTTATGTGAGTACCACGGAAAGTGTCTGTTGTCACCTTAATTAATGACTATTTTTACATTTCTTGATATTTGTTATAACCAAGCGTTGTCAATTGTTGTATTGCCAGCTTTAAAGCCTGCCTATTTTTTGGGAAAACAAATCAATCTGTTTACAAGGAAACAAATTAATATTTAAGTTAAGATATTTTTATCAATACAGTCATTTATGGTCTCCTGTTAAAATTGAATAGTATGTTAAACACTCTTCAATTACTTCTAACGATCATGTGCAAACCAATTTTTAAGTATAAAAAATCTGATTCTGCTGACATTTAAAGTCTTTGTAAGAGTACATGCCTTAAGGAATATGGTTCTACAAAGATATCAAAGGATAGCTTCAGGGCTTAACACGTCGCAAACTGTCTTGATGTTCATTGAATTCGGCAAGTGCAGAAAACAGATGATCAAAGCCTTTGTCGTTCCAGTCGGAGAGTTGCTCGTATGTATTCGCACCTTTTCTTTGACTGACTTGTGTGGGTTTTTTTTGTTGTTTTTTTTTTTTTTTTTCGTTTTTTGTTTTTTTTTTTTTTTTTAGTATTTTTAATTGTTAAGCGAGAATATAATTATCCATTTACTTATTCGTTTACGTGTAAAAAGCTATATATTATAAGCATGCATTTTCACTGTCCTGTAATATATTTAATTATTTGTTGTCATTAGCATACAGAAATTAACATATTAAAAAAAAGATTTTTCAAAGTCAATAGCTGTCCAGTTATACCGTTAAACAAATAGAACTTTGGTGTATAGAATACGTACAGGATAATATAAGCGGTTTTATTCACAACTTAAGATAAAAATGACTTTACACTGTGATATTATATGGCTACAGCTACCAAAAAGGGGATTTTTGGAAGCATTTTAAGCATGATAGTGGTAAATGTAAGCAAATATTCCTCCAGTACTTTTTCAATTAGGCTAAATGATGAACATACAGAGGAATACCGCTTAAAATAACTGCGGGAAACTGTTAACAAGTATATTTTAACAAGTATATTATTATAGCACGACAAGACAATTTACGTTTTTCTGATGCTCTATTCGGTTTTTGGCATAGTACCAGCACAGTCTACCCTTTTTTGTGTAGATTCTTAAATTGAATATTTTTCGTTTATTTGCGTTTGTATAGATCTCAAGAAGCCTGGGTCTGTGTATAGGAATCCTTTATGCTTTATATTGTAATTGAAATAGTTAAGAATCTTAAACAAATTAAAAAGAGAAATTATGGACGAAAATCATTTCCCGTTAGTATGTCTTTACTATAGTAATATAAGAATAAAATATAACGATAATATCATTTTAAAGAATCCTGGGCTTCTATAGAACATAGAATACTCAGTGAATACGGGCGTGCAAAAATTTACGAGTGATGTATCAAGTAGCGCATTATTAAACAAAACTTGTATAGTTACATATGTCGATCTAAAGTGCCAATTACTATCAGGACATAAAAAAAAACGTTTAGCGATATTAAGATAATCTGCGGATAACCTTGGATTTATTAAGGTGGATATGGCTCTAATAGAAAACAGCGTTAGGAAACATCTATGTCAGCATTGTTCTGGTAATAAAACAGAATATCGATTTCATTCCCTGCGGTCTGGAGACCGCAGGGTATTGGTACGCGTTTAACTTTTGAGGCATGGAGGAGCACGTGACCTGTTTTCGGTACATGGAGGAGCATGTGATCTGTAAACCTGACATGATTGGTTAATTGACCTTTTAGAAAACCTAGCTAAATACCGTTTGTCGGTACGTTACGGATTTACCTCTAGGTAATTAGTCCGAATTACACCTAATGAAGAACAAAAAGATATTACGTGATATTTCTAATTTTCTATAATTATTTTACCGTTTAAGGTGGAAAAACTTGAATGATGTGTTTGAAAATTTTCAATGATTCTTTAATATCTACCTCAAATTTTACAAACAATAAATTGTTTATAACTTTAAACTGAAAATCTACAAGATTAAAATATACGTAGTGACATCTGCCATAATAAATAGAGATATTTTCTGCGTAAACTTGTGTGTTTACTTTTTTTGCTCGGAATTATTCATTAAATGGTAGGCCTATTTAATAATTTTCTTAAATAGAAATAATTGTTTTATGTTCGACCTTCTCTGGTCTTCAACTGTCACCAGTTTTCAAAGACCCTTATTCTATATTAATCGTTTATTGTCAACTATATTCCTGATACAAACGTATATTTATCCCCCCCAAACAATGTTGAAAATAGTTAAATGAAATATCTTTATATCATTAAAAATGTTCCCCGCAGGAAACCATTTTACTTGTTTTATATGTGTACGATATCGTTAATTTACTAGACGCTCTCTCTACCTTACGTTATACTACAACAGAAAGCCGAGGCTGTTTGAATTAAGTACTGTAAACTGTAAGGTTATTTTACAACTTGTTTTGGTCATACATTCAGCTTACTATCAAACGACTGTGTTTATTTAAAAAAATATACTCTTATGTAAGCGATCATAACAGTCAAATGATTTAATCTAATACTGACTTCCTTATGTTTATTTATCTGCAACTTTTGTTTTCAAATCAAAACATTGTGTAAATATTTTATATGCTACACAAATTGGGTATTTTCAAAACTATTAACTGAATGTATACGTCAAAGACTTAGATGTCTATCTATTCTTTTTTGTATAACATTAATATATGGAAATGAATGCCGCCTTAACCAATAAAATTCGAGAAATTATTTTGTCTGACTATGAAAAAAAAACACAAACCTAAAGTATAATCAATGTCCTATACCACAAACATTATAATGATCATTACTTATAGTATTTATATCTTAATTCAAAGGTACTAACTGATAGTTCACGTGTGCCCAAATCCAACATAAAGAATCATTTAATTTTGATTGAATTGTGCTGCAAATGATACATGTACATGTACAGACTATATACATTGCTATTGCCATCATGGAAGTATTTTGTAAGGATACCTTTTACCTTTGTACACGCACTTTTCACCAATATTTGTCCGATTTTATTCTTCATTATTCCGTTTAAGCCTTAAATTAACAGAAAATTTTAAAAATAATCATCATGTCATGTACTTACACATTTAGTTGCACTTCTTCAAACATGAATGACTCCCTGAAATCCGTTCTTATATGAGGTTTGATCTTGTTTTCAGCGAGGAACTGTAAATCACGTGCATAATAGCTAACGTCTTCTAATGATCTTGACATGAGTTTAGTAATTTCTGAAAAGAACAAGAAGCTCCCAATTAAAGATTTTTATTTTGACGTGTAATCTAATGCAAGGTAATTTAATATTTTGTAACAATGATCGCACATGTTGAGTGACTTAGAAATGTACAAGAAATCCCAAATTAAAGAGTGTCACCAAACATTTTCACGACGTTGTATATAATGCCAGGTCATCAAATGTATTTCAAAAATGATGTAATGTTTCAAATACCCTATCAAGTATAATGTTTAGTATACAGGTTAATGATAAACGTATCACATTAATAATAACAAAACGAGAATAACAAGGCAAAGGTAACGTTCACAGACGCTGCCCTTGACACACCAAAACCACCACAGCAGGGCACCAAGAAGGCACCAAACCAAAACTGGGAGAAGACATTAGGGCGGCGAAAGGAAGGGACACGTAATGTGTGAATTATTAACACCTTATACGGGCCAACATGTGAATTAAAAGGAACACGCGCTGTAAGGTGAAGGGTGAGGGGAGTAAAATGCGAGGAGGTGAGAAAATACCGTTAATGACAATTTAATTAGGTAGACATCACAAATCATGTTAACAATAAAACAAGCAACGATACAGACATTGGAACGGTCAGTTGTAGTTACAACGCTGGGGAGTTTAAACCGGTTTTTGGCGCGCCAAACATCATTCTTAGTCCCAATATGTTCCTAAATGACACAAGAGGTGAATTACAATTAATCCTCGCCAAGTGAATTTCTAACAACTGTTTGGGTTACATTAGACAAAATAGATACAACACAAATGATCATGACCATTACCAAAGTACTCGAAGCCTAGAAGAGCCCGACGAAGTAAGAAAGAAGACGAAAATTAAAACAATTAAGTCCCAAAGGTCTATAAGAACTGTCTGTCACAGAGTCCCCCACTTAGTCTGTCAGATGTAATTAAAAGAGGAAGGCGTAGCGTCCAACTGTAAAAGGGTTGGGCACCAAGCATGCGGAATGCCTTAAGATAATTGGGTAATAACCTCGTTAATAAACCGTTTAATTATTTTATTGAATACAGCAAAAGAATTACTATAACCCATGATCCTACGAAGTTTGTAAACCACATCTCCATAAAAATAAGGCTTTCTAATGCCTTGTCGTAAAAGTGTTACTACAATTATGTTTAACAACTAAATCTGACTTATGTTGGTAAATATCTGCCAGTTTATGAAAACGATAGCCTTGTTTAAGACGTTTGTCAGTAATAAATAAATTGCGTTCATTGAAATCATCAACACGACTGCACGCCCTAGCAAATCTAATTAATTGAGAAATATATAACCCATATGATGTAGCATGAGGTACATCTCCATCTAAATGTGGATAGTGAACAATTTTAAAATAAAAAAATGATATCAAAATCATCTCTTTTATCTTAAATAATGTCAAAAAAGTAAGTCTTATTCAATTTAAGTTCAATAGGATATATATTGTAGTAACCATTTGATTGAATTAAGGATTATTCATATTAAGGGTATCATCTAGGTATCGGGAAGTGTTCTTAAATGCATGGGGTAATTTCCTAATGTAAAAGAAGTGGGAAAGATTTAACATAAAATCCCTATCATAGCAGTATAGAACAAATCAAAATGTTCATTTTTTCACAATATTGGAATTAATGTAGTTGAGGATGAGCTGCATGTGTTACTGCACTGTCCTCTGTTAATTGGTTTAAGACAACAGCTATTGTTTTAAAGGATGTCAACATTTTTATTTATTTTGATAGTGTAGATGATGATGAAAAGATAAGGATACTTCTGAATGAGGAGGCCATTGTTAATTGATGTGCCAAAACCTGCTTTCAAATGTTAAAAAAGCGTAGTGATAGTTTGTATTCTGTGTAATCTTACACTGTACTATATTGTTATGGTATATAAACAATGTTTTAGCATATGAGCATTGTTTTATCCTACTATAAAAAAAACCTTGTTAATAATTCACGTGCTTTAAGTGTTTAGACCATTTTGTAATGCTGATCATTTGAAAACTATATTAAATTCTCATTTTTAAACGATATTCAACGTCCATGTCTTTAAAAAAGCAATTGTAGATAAACAAGAGTTTTTCCAGGTCTTAGCATTTAGAATAAATGTATATATATATATGGAATATACATGGTTAAGGAATAAGTATTAATAGTTTAGAACCGAAAAAATTAGAAAAGTTGTTTTTTGTTATACAAAGCAATGCCGAGTCATAATTTTAGAAGTTAAAATCATTAAAGTTTGGGTCTGCCCACAGTTTAACACAATACAAATTGAAATATTTTATCTATTCTGTTGATGGCACTGGTTTTGAATTAAATTACAGCCGTTTTCTATGTGATAGGCAGATAAGTACGGATATTTCTAACTTTACTCAAACAGGACAAACTTGCCAAGATCCTTGACTTGTCAACGTTATGACTAAGAGCAAATTCAGATGTATTTTAATTTCAGTTTCTGTATGTGAATAGTAAGTGAGTAGTCATGAAAAAATGTAATTATGTTATTGACCGCCTTGACTGCAAATTTAGAGTGGAACGCTAATATATCCTTTCTAAGATGTCGTAAAGTATAAAGTCTTGTTTCAAGTTGTAAAAGATGTCCAATCCCACAATGGAATTCGATAAGTAATTCAATAATATTAAATAAATTATGTTTCCATATATTAAATGCATTACTATCAGCATTTTCGCGACGACCCCATTTTACCGAAAATGCCTCGATCAATCCAGCTATCTGACTTCGAGAAGCATTAAAATCAGTACCAGAAAGAATTCTGTATTTACGTCCTTTAAATAATAAATTATGGACTCTCATGTCGTTTATCATATCAAAAATACCAGGCAGTGAGTAATTATATTGCCAAAATCCAAATTACAGGATTTGAACTTTCAATCGCTTGCATCTATTCGCAAGTGTCATTTATAGCGAATACTATGTGTAATATTCGTTCATTAGAGATCATTTGAGTATTTAATGGTATATATCTATATCTTATAAAATACTTTAACAAAATGTATTAATAGTAGAATTATTTTGGTTCCATTAATATATGAGCCGCATCACGACAAAACCAACATTATAGGTTTGCGACCAGCATGGATTCAGACCAGCCTGCGCATCCGCGCAGTCTAATCAGGATCCATGCTGTTCGCTTACAGACCCTATAACAAGTAAAGAAACTGATAGCGAACAGCATGGATCCTGATCAGACTGCGCGGATGCGCAGGCTGGTCTGGATCTATGCCGGTCGCAAACCCATTATGTTGGTTTTGTCATGACGCGGCTCATATGGTTGATTCCCGAAATGGTTGTGACATAGAATGTCTATGATATTTCATTCACATGAATAGTGTACGTAAACAGAATAAAATGTTCCGAAACAAAATATCATTTTGCTATTGGCTACTATGTGCCAATCGCTTTTAAGGCAATAAATTGACATTTTTATTTCATAGAAGCATTTTGGAAGTAAACTTTTTTGAAATTAGGACAATAATTTTTGCATCAGATATATAGCTTTATACACTTTAAATTCTGCAATCCAATGATATCGCAAGTACATGTATTTTCGAACTCGTGAAATAATAATTTGTGTTTAAAAATTGTTAAACAACATTTGACAGTTCGCATAAATAATTTAGTGTAGATATTCAGTTAACCATATTAATAAAGTGTCCCTCACGTACAGACTCAATCAAACCGAGTCTGCAATTCTTATGTTATTTTGTTGTGATTAATGCTTCCGAGGGATCACTTTGTTTCCAAAATTTTGTACTTCACAACAGCAGGTGTCAAGTGCCGTGTGGCAGCCGTAAAAAGTTGCCCCGTACTTCACTTCAGTGTTGTTATGTTTTCTGGTCCTTCGGGATCATTGATGCCAGCACTATAAAGTGTTGAGAATTGAGTACCGCTCAAGCCGGTGCTAGGGGCGTGAGTGATGTTGCACTTATTCATTATCCCTCATGTACAGACTCAATCAAACCGAGTCTGCAATTTTTATGTTATTTTGTTGTGATTAATGTTTCCGAGGGATCACTTTGTTTCCAGAATTTTGTACTTCACAACAGCAGGTGTCAAGTGCCGTGTGGCAGCTGTAAAAAGTTGCCCCGTACTTCAATCTAGTGTTGTCATATTTTCTGGTCCTTCGGGATCATTGATGCCAGCACTATAAAGTGTTGAGAATTGAGTTCCGCTCAAGCCGGTGCTAGGGGGCGTGAGGGATGTTGCATTTATTCATTATCCCTCATGTACAGACTCAATCAAACCGAGTCTGCAATTCTTATGTTATTTTGTTGTGATTAATGCTTCCGAGGGATCACTTTGTTTCCAGAATTTTATAATGATTTCTTTTTATTATTGTTTTTCGTATAAATAACTAAGTTGCTGAATAATGAAAGTTTGTTTATTTTAAATCACATCCTCACAAACACACACATACATGCACACGAAAAACAGAGATTGTTGATAAAAATTCCCATGATGTAATTAAATACGCCTGTAAAACAACTGTGGCATAAATATTGACTGCATCTGCGTTAGCTATATAAAAGAAATAAGTTTGCATGTTTGCATTTCTTTCACTGCTTTTAATGATGTTTATTAAAAATATTTTAATTTGTTAAAAGTGGTCTAATCATACCGTAAATTTACATAATATTTAAATTGTTTTTTGTTCTATGATTTATTTTTCGATGATTTTGACATGTATGATTTTATGAGCCATATACTTACCGTAATAAGTTGACACAAACAGCTGTGCGGATTAGTTGCTTAAAAATTTATATAAAATGGCATAAAATTTTGTTCCAGGCGCGTAAACTTATTTCTGTATGAGGTTTTTGCGAAAAAATGGCTGTTTTCATGAAAAAGTCTCATGTTGCGAGTTCGAATTGTTATGAAACTATAAAAGATGCTTAAATATTCATTACACTTGGCGCATATAGTGACTTGACAATAGCCTTTGTATAGATATGCTCAATTTTAAATTTCCCGTT